TCCAGATTTTCGACCTAGGCGGAGCTACCGCGATTGCCCGTTCGAGCCCTCGCCAGGCTCCGATTGCTTCGGCGTCGAAAACATGAGAGCGTGAGTTGATAGCGCCAGCGCCAGTGTCGATTTGATTTGGACATGTCATTAAGCGGGAGTCGCATTAAGTTCTTTCAGAACATTTTTTTTGTGCCCCTGAGATAAAGACCTTGTCCGTCACTTCGTCGAAAATTGGTGGGGTGTTTGTTTAGCTTTGGATGTACAGAGCCTATGAACTGGGAGACAATGGAAGCCACAAACACAGTTGTGGTTTCTCCGGGTCGATTCGATTGATGCCCATGCAGCACCGGTAGCTATGCAATTTGGCAATCCTACATGCACGCGGCCAGCTCGCTGTTGGTGAGCGTTTCACCCACCGAAGTATCTTTGGGAGCACTTTCGAATGTCACATCCATGGCACGACGAAGGTGGGTGAATACGACGCTATCGAACCGACTGTGAAGGGAAGTGCTTGGATTAACTCGTTTAAGAGATATGTTTTGGATCCAACTGATCCTTGGCCCACTGGTTTTAGGGTTGGTGACCAGTGGCTTGTGACTGAGGGGTGAAATTTCATCTTGTCTCGGGATTGAAACCTATAAATGAGAATCAATCTTTTGGAACAGAACGTATTAGATATCGCAAAACTTCTTGCTCTCTTCAAGCATAATCTTGGCGTGATCCCACTTTCCATGGTGTCCTTCTTGACTCAACTATTCCTACTATACAACGGCATCTTTGGATTTTGACTTGACTTCGATGCCTGCCTCAAATTCTGGACACTATCACCTCGGAACCTCGAAATTTAAATCCGCGTTGTTCGGCAAATGAACTTGCGATCCCCCCCCCCAGCGATCTCAACCCACTCGATCTCTTATCTGTAGTCTCAAACATTGGTAACTTGCCCACCACTCAGATGAGCCAATTCAAACTTGTGTGATGATTTTTATGAAATGACCTTCCCGCGAAATGGCCAAGGTTTCACAGCTGCTTGACGATACTGAGTAGGACTATTACACTCCATGGTTATCATCGGGATAATGTGTGACTAAAAAGTGGACTCTGTACTCTTGATCATGCAGTTAGTGCTATTACCGGCCAGCGTTTGAAGCAAAAAAGAACATTTGATTAACAACTCCAGCAATAGGGAGGGAAAGACGCAAGGAAGAGAGGAAGAGGAGGAACAAAGGGGTGGGTCCCTCCCCGCTCCGCGCTTGGCAAACAATGCAAACAGTGCCAACAGAACAAACAATCACCGCACCAAGTGTGCACAAGCCTTGCGCTGCATACGCTCTTTAGGCCAGTAGTTGCACGAAAGCTGAAAAATTGCAGATTCAATCCAGAACTTGCCCGTCAAGTTTCGTAAAAGACCGTCAAAAATTAGTGTGGACATCGTTGTCACAACCGGCTGAAGACGATTCGGGCCGAATGTGGAATTTACCCGCAATTCCTCCGTCACTTTCCAACGGGCAATTTTGCTCCGGCATGGGGGTCAACACTCGGCTAAATAAGAACTGAGAGGCTAAAGAGGTCAAAGAGGTGAGCATACCCTTCCTTAATCAATTTCGTATTCTTCGTTTTTCCCTCTCCCTCATTAACATCCAAAATGGCTCGAGTACTTGAAGGGAAATTCGGCATTGTCACTGGCGGATCGCGGGGTAAATCATGGCCTTCCCCGCATACCACGAGATTCAGCTAACGCGCCATCTACACAGGAATTGGCGAAGCAATTGCCCGCAATCTGGCCTCAAAAGGCTGCTCACTACTTCTGAACTTCACTTCGGAGTCTTCGCGCGCCCCCACTGAAGCGTTGTGCTCCTTCTTAGCCACAAGCCACAACATCAAGTGTGAGAGCGTGCAAGCCGATCTGAGCACGCCCGCCGAAGCCGTGACAGCCATCATCGGTGCTGCACAAGAACAGTTCAGTACCGATGGAAAACTTCAGATCGACATCCTGATCAATAATGCCGGCGTATCGCAAGATCGGAACCTGAACGATGCCACCAAGGGCCCTATTGAGGCCGAGCACTTCAACTGGCATTACGCGATCAATGTCCTCGCCCCGCTTCTACTCACACAGGCATGCGCCCCCTTCCTCCCAACCGACCGAAGCGGTCGTATCGTGAGCATTTCCAGTGTATCCTCGTCGCTCGGGTTCGTAGGTCAGTCGATCTATGGCGGTACCAAGGCTGCTGTTGAGGCGATGACTCGCACCTGGGCACGTGAACTGGCAGACCGTGCGACTGTGAACGCTGTTAACCCCGGCCCGGTTGTTGGTGATATGTACTTTGCGACCGGAGAGCAGTTCTGGAAGGATATCCAAGGACACCAGGATAACACGCCTCTGAGCAAGTTGGATGTGCATAATCCGGACACTATGAGTCGCTTGACCGATGAGCAGAAGCGGTTGATCCAGGAGAAGATGGGTGGTCGTCGACCGGCTTTCACCAGTGAGGTTGCGGGCGTCGTTGGCATGCTGTGTACGCCTGATGGTCTTTGGTGCACTGGCAGTGTGGTCTGTGCCAACGGTGGCATGAAGATGGGACAATAGGAACAGGCGCAGGTGGCCGCCACTCTTAAGTGGTTTGTCATGAAAATTTGCTATATCAACCCGTTCATGTCCCAGTCACAAATGACTCCTTGATGAAATCATTTCTTGTTCTTCATTCTGTTTTTCGGTTTGTTTATGTCCTTGAATCCGTAATGTTTGGTGTTGAGAGGAATACCCTTCGTCTTGTCGATACTCTGAATAATATATCAGTGACTCAGGGTTATCCCAGGCAAGAAAGGTAGACAAACTAAAAGTTCTCCACGCGTCTTGATAAGTTTGGGTTCACATTTTATGACAGGCCTTCTCTCGAGGATCCATCTTGCTGAACGTTGTCGTCACATCTGGGATCGGCATGCTAAGGGTGGCCATTTTGTAAGTTCAAGGTTGCTATCTGCACTCAGCCGAAAGCGAGGTAATTCGAGAAACAAGAGATGTGAAGCTGACAACTTTGCAATCACCTCCGTTGACATGGTCCAGCCATGGGTCATCCATGGATGCCCAGGTGTGATTGATAACTTCATCACCACAGTTCTCAGCCTCCTACAACGCCCACGAACTCATCTTGTAGTGGATTCTGTGGAGTTAACAATATCAGATCAATCCCAATGCTCAGAAGGACACCATGGCGGTGGTCTTGGATCTGCACAGCCATGTAGATACCCCCCTAACATGACCAGCCGATGAGATTCCATTTGCATGTATTGGGCAATTTGATCAAGATTATCTGAATCCAGCGCACGACAAAATATTACGACTAACTTATCACGTGCCTAGATGAGCGTTCCTATGTTGTACATAATTTGAGATGTGGATTCGTAGGTGTGTTCACCTTTTTCCGAACAGATCCACCTACCAACTGTATTCCTGGAATACTTTGCCCTATCACCTGTCTCCATCTTGATAGAGACGAGAGCGCCATGCAGCCCGGCTGTTTACCCTTGTAAGCGCTAAGCTTCATGGGTGTTGGACCTCCAAAGTGTGACTCATCAACAATTCTATGGTGGTATCTGAAACCCCAGGGAAGCAACGACAAAAGAGAAGATCAAGACCCAAGAAGTTGGAACGAGTTGTCTGTTCTCTCACGCTAGAATCAAATCGCGTATCATCAGACTACTCAACCACGATGCCAGGATTCTCCTTCCCACCGGGCTTCACAATTCCCACCCCACGTCTTCAAATCAGCCCATTCAACCCCACCGACCCAGCCCACTGTACCTTCTTAGTCCAACTCTGGAACACTGAGGATTTCATCAGCTCCTGCGGAGACACCGGAGTCACCACACCAGAAAAGGCAGCATCATTCCTTGAAAACAGAGTCTTGAAAAGCTACGCCTACTATGGCTATGGCATGTTTCTAGTCTCGCGACAGACCGACGATGGCGTGAAGCCGGTCGGTGTTGTATCGCTGTTAAAGGGGATTCCACCAGACCCCCATTACCTTGCCCCCGATATCGGGTTTGCCATGTTACCCGAAGAAGGTCGGAAGGGGTATGCGACCGAGGCAGCGACGGCTCTTTTGGAGTATGTGAAAACGTGTCTTGGGGTAGACGCTGTGTTTGGATTCTGTTCACCTGCAAATCAACGCAGTCGGGGAACTTTGGAGAAACTTGGAATGGAGTTCAGGGGGGTCTGGCCGTTGCATATTCTTGGTGGAGAGGAGAGTGCTGTGTATGCTTTGCCAGGGATGAGTGAGGATTTGAGTATTTACAATCTTGACTGAAGTGAGGGCATGATTGTTCTGTAGGGGTAAATCACGCTTTGTGATTGATCTGTTCCAAGTAACTTTGCATAATTTTTTTTTTGTTTTTGTAAATATCTCGCTAATTCCAAAGCTTACACCAACTGTTCATCATGGCATGTGGCTATTGGTTCGGTCACCATGGGATGATGGCTGCAAACCCTCTGAAGGGGGTTCACATTTCTCTTCAGCCCAGCGCCGAATTTCTTTAAAGGTCTTACTTCGATGTTAATGGTTGGAATCAATATAAGGCTCCGGATTCTGCATCTTCAGGGGAGATCCAGACTTGACCCAACACTGCAGTGTCGACCGTGCACATCTGCTTTTGAAGAACACCGAGGCAACATGGTTTGGGGGAAATAATCTAGTCGTATCACCCAAAGAGAATGACAAGAACACACACACGTCGTGGCGGACGACATAGTTATTGTTCGTGGAAGATCCTTCACCCTTCGCATGGTAGCAGTCATGATTATAGTAAAGTGACTGGTGAAGATTCTTGTCGGCGCTAGTATACCTTGTTCACGGTATCAGGCTGAGGTATTGACACTCGCCAGATTGCAGCCCCGTGTCCCCTACATGTCTCACACGTTTTGTCATCCCCTGAGTCTCCTGCTTGTGGTTGCATGGTCAACATGAGAATCCCCTCGCAGGGGGTTCAACTATAGAAGACGGTATCAAATGCATTGAGGTGGCTTCAGCATGTTTTCTCTGTTGACCCAGATAAGATCAGCACTGTTTGACTGCGGATGACCGTCGAGGAATGTGCATGATCCCCTTGCGGACGGGATCTACGGATTCTGTGCAGGCTCACACGAGATTCATCACACAAGTCTTTGAATGCTCAGTCAGAGAGTTTTGATCTTATTGCTGTATTTTATCTGTTACAGCCGACTGAGACCATCCCGCCCCCGAATGCTTGTCCCCCGCTAGCCACTCTGTTTATCAACTAAACGTTTCCCCAGTACCCCTTGCGGCATGAATCCTTGTCCATCCTCACCAAGGAATGGTGTGAGACGACCTCAAGCATTCTTGTCAAAAACCCCAAATGCTATTGAGTGGCAGCTTTGAGCTACATAATGTCAAGACGGGGGTTGGGATGTCTTCAGATATAAATAGAGACCCGCGATCGTACTCTCTCCAACGGACACAATCTCGAGGACTTACCCATCGTAACAGTACTTCTGAACGCGAAGAATCCTCCACACTTTGTCTTAATCTCCTTGATCACCTCTCCTCCAAGATGCGCTACGCCATCATCAACAGCCTCCTCTTTTTGGCAGTCTCGCCACTAGGCGTCGTGGCACGTCCCATTGACCCCAACGATCTGGCTGGTCAGTGGGATCCGAGTGGACAGTACCGAAAGGGTCAGTGGCAGCATGGTGTCTTCGTTGCGAACAACGGCGGTGACAGCAACAACCCAAACGGCCAGGTTGAGCAGAATAGCCAGTGGCGCAAGAACAACCAAAACGGCTGGACTGATGCCAACGGACAATGGCACACAGACCAGACGCTCCAGGAAAGCAACGCCTAGAATACTCTCAGCTCCCAGGACAACAAGTGCCACAGCTAGGGCAAGAGGACTACGGCTCTTGGCAGAACTACCCCACCAACGGACCAAGCTAGACTCAGCAGAAGGATACCAAGGGTACCACTGGCCAGCAGGAGTATCGGATACTCTCCCGTACATCAAGATTGAGATGTTTTGTTGATTTGGTCCCAGGGTCCTAAAATTAAAAGAGATGATATTGTATTGGTAATTTACTTGGCCCGAGGAAAGGCATGGTTAGAGGAAAGGGCACGAACTGGACACGCGTATCAATAAATTGGGTGATGACTTTCCAAGGTTACTGTAAATGATTGAATGACGGTTGCAGGAAAGTGGACAGAAAGAGATATACTTATATTGCAGTTATTTTTTTTGAGAACACCGCTCTCCGTAATTTATAGATAGGACAAGCTCTATCGGCTGCTCGCCATGTCTTTAGATGGCCAATTCATTTGAAAAGGTTTTTGTGGGCTTGTGTGAAAGTTCCTGGTGCTAGTCCAATTATGGTAGGACTTTCAAGTGAGAGCTTTCTAATTCAACTGATTTAAAAGTTCTTATTTTAATTGACTCAAAACTCAGAGATCGAGTGGAAAGGGACGATGTCGCTAGCGCAAAGAAGAGACAGGGAGCAAGTTCGAACCGAGCAAGTGAAACGGAGTTTGGTGTGCCATAATGTACCTCCTCACGGTTACCAGGTCCGATTTCTTTTGGCTGTCGTAGTTGCGGACTCTGACACTGGCATTGACGACCCGGTTACTCCCTCGAACCACCTTCATGATTTTGTCGAATACAACGTCCGCTATGCTAGGCATCTTGCGGAGACGCTGGAGCTGTTCTTGGATGTCTTCATCAACCTGGCGACATAGCCAGCTGGCTACAGTACGTGACCATTGCACCCATCTATAGAAGTGGTCTTGGCCTCTAGCTGGCCGGGGCACACTGCTGTTGACCAAGTGTTGCAGTCGGAGTTAGGCCAGTGCGTATCTCACGCGAAGAGCCCATCTTTCTGGGTCCTTTGAGTTGGGCTTCAGTCGAGGCACGTTCGTGATTATGACTTGGGTCAACTTTGGTAGGTTTGACCCTTGGGTGTCTGGTGCACCCCCGGCTGCACTATCGAGGAGGTCGATTTTTTTGTCGACCTTGTCATCTTTGGGATCGACATCTTCAGTATCAAGATCCTCAGTATCTGGATGGCCGAGTGGTTGGCCAGTGCTAATAATTTGGGGGCCTGGTTTGGTGTTACCGGCTCGATAGTCGGTACAGTTGTTTGTCGCCATCGCAAGTGGCGGATAGAGTATGATAGAAGAAAAATGGGTGTTCGTATCGAAGAGTTGATGAGTGATAGACTGGATAATGAAAAATGAAGATGAAAGAGAAAGGAAAGAGAAAAGAAAGAGAAGAAAGGATCGAGCTGCTTGATTGAAGCTTCTAAGCTACTAGTAATATCACAGCTATTACGTTCTCAGTATGACGCAAGATACCAACCATTTGAGAGATCGAAAGAGACACCGAAATTGAATTAATTGTCGCTTCTGCAGACGCCTCTTTTAACAATTTCGATTGTCTATCAGAGGTCAAGAAGGAGTAAATGCATTAGCACTATCTAAAGAAAGTCCATCTCAATATCCTCGGTCATTTGCTCAAGGTGTCCGGCAACCATAAGGTCCATGGATGGATCGGATCTAAGCTCAAACGCAAGTCGGTCCAAGCTGTACTCCATGCTAATACATACCTGTTCTAGTTGCGGATCTCCGGAGCAGGTAGAGAGCCACTCAGGAGTTGCGTTGCGGACATATACACTATCTGGGGTCTCGTCGATCATTTCAAATGCAGCCTCTTTGATTCGCTCTGCCTGATGGGAAAGTGAGATTAGCTCTTTGCGAACATTCTTCATACGATCTACTCCTTGACGTGCCGGATCGTTTCTCAAGATCTGAGCTTGGATCTCTAGACGGGCCTTGAAACTAAGGCACTCCTCTTTGTAGATTTTCTCCCAGGTTTTCGATTCGCTTGAAGCCAAAGACGACCTTTCATGTTCTGGGGCACCAAACGATATAGTCAGGGTCTCAAGTGGAGTTGATTCTGAGAGCTTACCACTCCTTCGGACTTGGCTTTTGGGGAAGGCAGATTGATTAGCGTTGAACCAAAACTCGAAAGTAATCCAGAATATCCGCAGGACCCGATAAAGTCCGTGTTGAAGCATTTGGACGATACAGAAGTCAATTCAATTGTCCGTTTGGTGTGTACTCGAAATAGGAGCATCGGCAGTATTTATGCAATGGTAATCGGCACTAGCTCGATTCGATTCAAAGAGCAAATGCAACCCCAACAAAGACTATTGTTCACTCCATGGAAGGAGTTTTCATTGATCCTACTGCGCGGCACAGAAGACCTACATCAACAAAGCGATATTAGCTTTGTTGCTTGATATGATGAAAGAAACTTCAACTCCCATATGGCATGGGTGGTTGGTCTATTTTTCGGCGCCTTTTTTTGAATTTCTGTCGGAAGAGTGAAAGATCAGAAGTCCGGGAGGAGGTTGGAAGCCCCTACACACTGTCCGATAAGACAACCAAGTAGTGTAAGACAGGTAAAGAGACACGTGAGGTCATCAGATAACAAACTCATTAGTGAATACGCTTTAATACAATCCAAACCCCAATGTCACGACATTCACTTGTGAAGCTGACAAGACTGAAAGAAGTTCTACCTCGGAATCCCTTTCCGTACCAGAGGAAACACGCTACACCGGCAACATTTCCTAGTAGCCTCCTCTTACTTTGAAGTGGCCCATTCGTTTTTCTATGCGCACTCTGGTCTTGCGTCACCTGGCGTTGAGTTACGATACTGTAGTTCCGAGATTGACGCCAGGGCTCAGCTGTCCTGCCACAAGGGTTTAAATGGTGCTCAGATGCAAGACAAGCTCTAAAATACAACTAGACTAATACGAGTCAACTGACTGTACCAAAACATACTGCTGACGTGGGATCCATTTTTCCCAATTATCTCCTCCTAGGAGGCAGATTGAATCCTCAAGGATGCGCAGCTATGTTCAACGAGAGCATAAATGTGATAGCGAGCCACGAACATAGAAAATGGCCTGCTTTTGTCTCTGGTGGCTTTGAGGAGCGCTATACCATCAGACGTTTCTGCCACCTGCCTGCACACTTGGGGTGATTGTTTTTGCCCTGTTTAACGTGGCGGAACAGGGGACCGAAGGCCTATGACCTCCTGGTTAGAGTGTGGAGTCGAAAAAAAGAAATGGACGGGCAGCGATTCGAACGCTGGACTTTTCGCATGCAAAGCGAACACTCTACCAACTGAGTTACGCGCCCAGTTGAGTTACACAAGTTGTCTTTTTTCTATACCTGACTAACAAAGATTTGCGAAAACACGTTCTAAGTGACTTGCCAATATAGGCTTGTGGAATTTGTTATTGTCGAGTCTCCCTCTTGTTTGTCCCGGGAGTAGAGGGAGAATCGAAAAAATAGGTAATCCCTATTAGCACTAGTATAGACTGAAACCTAATAGGGATTGCTTTTTTAGTATACTATTCTTAATAGAAGCGTAAATTGTTGAGATTCTGCAACTAACACGATGTGATTATGTGTTCATTTTACGGTATAGTAACGTAAAAGCTTTTGATAAAATACTTCGATGAAATTAAGCCTTTCACTTTTGGCTTTAGCGCTACGTTGTAAAAAACGATTGAGATAAGCCACTTGGGCTTTTACGAGCCTCCGCGAATTGAAACATTCAATGTGGCGGAAGAGACAGACTATTTTCCTTCTGGAGGAAGCGCCAAGTCGAAAAAAAAAGAAGTGGACGGGCAGCGATTCGAACGCTGGACTTTTCGCATGCAAAGCGAACACTCTACCAACTGAGTTACGCGCCCAATAGCGAATATTACTAATTATGGGGGTTTGGAATGATATTTCAAGTTCAAAATGGCCCATCGAGAGACAGTTTATGTTGTAGTTGAGCACAGGTTTTGCTCTGAGCGAGACAGTAGGCGTTGTACAAGCCCATTAGTTTTTGAAAAACTGGAGCGCGATCGAGATTTTCTAGCAACTCTTTCCACAAATGGCATCAATCCTTGGTTAGCTAGACTGGATCTAGTGTTATGGGCCTAGTCAAAGAGATGTATAAATTCACTACTTCGTCACTAAAAGCTATGCCGAAACCTTCTGTGACGGTCATTGGCGTTGGCATAGTTTCACACAATAACAATCAGCTACTAGTACTGAAAATTCGCATGGTTTTCTGTTTTACAACATCTGTCGAGCAAAAGATATATGTTGCAAAGCGGCGCCAGCTTCGAAATCGCAGCTACCCAGCGAAAGGAGATCAGAGTGAGGCCTAGATCTCACATGTCTGGGTAATCAGGACTGGAAACAACGAGGACCATCAGATATAGGAGAAGTAAAAAGCTCGAACATAATCAGAGCGATGTAAACCCGGAGTCCTGGTGAGAGTCCACGATTTCAGCAAGGTAGATGTATGAGCACACGCTGCCAAACTGGATGTAAGAAGAGGACCCCTGAGCAAACATCACCCTGGAAGCCCTTGAGAAGATGGGAAACAAATAGCTGACCTAACTATGGGCGCATTTTATCGGTGGAAAAGTATGTCCTCTGATGGCGCTTGATTTGGAGGTATATTTCTAACAAAATTTGTCTGGCTTGGCCAAATGAACAGATTTCAGGATTCAGCTGAGCCAATCGAGTTTTTGTGAGAGATTTTTGAAAAGAAACCTACCCCCTCGGTTTTCTTGTTTATTTATGTATAACGGAAAAAAATCCGTCGAAAAATAGGGGAACCTTGTTCTTTGCCGGGTTATCTTTATGCAGGTAAAACAGTATTCAATTGGATGGACGGGGAGAGAGAGAAGGTTAGAGTGGAAGGAAGACTATCTAGTTGGTCTATCCTACATGTGATGCCTGAGGCATCCAACAACTAAGGATCAGGGCTTAGCGATACCAAGATGCGGCGAGGCAAATTTACCATTCTATACATCATTGTATGACCCTTTAGAGATCCTTTCCCTCACTGCAAAATGCACGTTCCCATCCAGCTGTAAGTAGACGGGATATCAGCGTCCGGTCAACGTACTTCCATACCGAACAGATCCAGAGCGTTCTTGCCGCGCTATCCAGCGCCTGGAGCAGCGCTTAGCACAACTCTGGCAAGACGCTATGGACCTTCTGGCGGAGTTGGAGGTAGACGAAGAATATTTCAATGAGATCCCGGAGGTGGTAAAGCCAATTTGATAGGATTACATCGTTGACTTGGATCTTGTTCTACCTCCGAGATCCCGCGAAATTTAAATAATTAAGCAGTCATTCAATCCATCAAGCTCAACCTAGCTTTAGTTCATACCCTCTCGGCTGGAACCTGGGGATTGCCATAGTCATGGTCTGAGTAATTGTCGGAATTTCAAATGTTTATTTGCAGCAACTCTACGTATAACGGATCTTCAAAACTTCCCTGTAGGCACAGCGTGCTCCTTCATCCATTCGGTTAACTTGTCGAATCGGCGACATTTGTGGTGTGTCGAGAAATCTGCCTCGGCCCCTAGTGGCTTCGACTCATTCAACCTTAACAGCACGGGCGTCACATCCCCTGCACATATGAGATGAAGACGAAGGGTCTCGATACAATGGTCGACATGGATTCTTGAGATCTCTTGGGATGTCTGAAATCCCTCCGGTAGCACTTCGTAGGAATCCAGGTACGTGTACTGTCGAATCATGTTCTAATCCGAGAAACTAAAATCAGTCACCCAAATCAGATGCATAGGTAGGTGATTATCCACAAACCAGACAATGTAACTGATGGAACACTTCTATGTTAGCTTCGGCGCCTCCGCCATAATTTGCGGATGTTTGCTTCCAATTCGTATCTATCGACCGATTGAGCGAGGGTAACTTGTTTAAAGGAACGTTGATATCGTTTTCTAGGCATCTTCAGTGGGTTGGCCAAAAGTTGACATCTACTGCAATACTTACGTCTCCAAAGACGATCCCATGCGAGTTCTAACTTCGGAGTCGGCGATCCCCGATAGATGGACTCCTGATGGAACCCGTTTGCCCAGTCGACCTCGTAATATTCCACTGCCTCAAGCATTGGAGCTAGAATGGTCGTGATTAGTAAATCATTCAAGGGGGTTCGGATCACTCGGCTAGACAACTCAGAACCCACAGTAGGATGATAACTGCACCGCACATTTTCGATCACTGGGTGCATGAACGGTAAGCGATACTGCAAATAGCAAACAGGCTCCTCCTAGCAATGCAATAGAAATGGCCGTCAGAAACTGGGTCTGGCAGCAATGCCAATGAAAGTGGGTGCTTTTTATCCTGCTGAGAAGCATTTTCTGTTGCTCTCCATTTTCTTCCGCTGAGAGGTCTTCTTGAGATTGCAGCACCCTCATATAAGACGATCCGGCCACCATTTTGCTTTTTGTTCTAAAATAGGTGTTTGAGTCCTCTGTTGAGGTGACCCAAAGTGTTAGGAAGTCCCTGGAGCAGGTTGAAAGAAGGAGCTGACAGCCTCGACCAATTCTCAACCATGACTCCCAAAGCCTGAAGTGGAAGTACCCAAAGTACGTTTTGAAAGCTTTCAAGGGTCTGCCATTCTGAACTTGGATGGATCACCCGCTACAACCATGCAAAATTTCCCTTTTCCATTGGAATGACATCTGCCACCAGTGATACAACCGTAGGACGTGTGAACGTATCACAAAATTGCGTACGGAGTAATCTTTTTTTTTTAGCGTTTGTGGACCATGTACGGAGTGGGTTTGCTGACCATGAATCTCATTAATGTAACTCTGATTCTCGTGCTAGAGATCATTCCCAAGAGAACATCCTCATAACGGGGTTGCCAACCCTAAAATTGATAACACACAGTGTGTATTTTGGCATAAAAGCATCAAAATCATGGTGACATCGGCTTACCTGTTAGCCTCGCATTTTTCAATCATGAACAGAGGATTGGTGGAACACATACTTCTATCTGGTTAGTTAGGTTTTGGTTGGTTGCTTCAGTAGGTAAATTTGCATCTGCGACGTCAGAAAAGTGCCTGCTTGAAAATTTTAATAAAGAGCGGCTATTTCCTATACTCTTTTACTCACAATCTGCGTCTTTATTAGATCCAATTTACACACAGCGAGGCCTAAATTTTCTGTCTCATCTTGCCAGAATGAGATCCTCGTCTGCTTTGTTGGTTATATTCTCTGCATTTTTGGCGGTTGCAGTCCCTCTTAGCCCACCCAAGGAGGCAGCTGCAGCTTATTGGTTCAACGAGGCCTACGTTGATGGAATTCCTCCTAAGGAGGACGCCCCTGCCGCTGAATTTTTCGACAGAACCTTTGCTAAAGATTCGAAATAAGTCACCACAAAGGTTGGATATTTATTTATTGCCTTTCGCTGGAATTGGTTGCTGATTGGAGCACTAGCGCTCAGCCTGTTGGTATCATGCGATCATACCGAGTAATTCAATGTGACGATCAATGTATGACAATGGGCTTTTATGAGAGTTTGAGCCTTCCATTGAGATATGTTCTAATTTGAGTTGCACGTACAAAGCCGTTCATTTAATTGGAATTCTCTTGTTTTAATCTCAAAGTCCTTCCTTACGTGCTAGTTGATCATTCCAATACACCTGTTGATGAATTTCAACCCATATCTCGAGATGCATGTAACTCGATACTGACGCTGACAGATAAAAATGACCATTGCAATGATGTTTGGCTCACTGTCAAAAAGGCAGCGGGTGGTGTATTTCTCCCGGCACTCCAATTCACCCGTAATTGCATCGTTGCGTTGAAGCTCACGGGCATGAAAATTTTGCTAAGCCAGCTCCTTGACCAATCCGCCATGTTACTGAGGTTCTACCGCTCGACAAATAGTGAGCTAGAAGATTAGAATCGAGTATGCCGATAGATTTTCAAAATTAACAGACGCTTTGTCACAGCTGAACTACTTGACTAGGGGGGTTTCCATCTTTTATTTTCTTCAGATAGCCCTACTAGAAGGATCACTAGGCACAGAAAGCTCCAATGCTTCTGTACTAGAGAAATAGGCTGAAGTCGCGCAGGGAAATTTAGTACGGAGATCCCTAAATTGGAAAAGTGTACATTTGTAGAGCAAGTCCTGTAACACCTAGGTTAATATGCATCAGACCGGCGAAGAAGATTTACTACAATCCACGGCATTAAATGGTTTCGTTTAAGTGACCAAGTAAAAGTTAAACAGGTGGGCAAAGAATTGAAATCATCCCAAGCAGCTAGCCACTCGAGTTTGTGTTCCATGAATATCAACCGATGCCTCCTCGTTGCTCAGTCGTCAGGACGTCAGGTGGTACCTCTTGATACCATCTTTAACGGAACATCTCGTCGCCGTTGTCTCTCCCCTTTCGGTGGGACAGGGGAAAAATTGCAAAAAAGAGCACCGAGTGTGGAACACAAGTGCAGCAGCAACCTAAACCGCTGGGCTACGGGGTGAACACTTATTTCGAATTTTGGATAGGTTGAACAAACTCAATACGTCTACACCTAATAGGATCTAAAAGGAGGAGGGAAAGAGTTGCTTTCTATGTTGCACATGGAGCAAATCTCCGACCATTTGCCAAACTAGGGCATGATGCCTGATGCATGAACTACGGCCTCAGGCCACCACAAAACACCTGGAACAAATCCCGAAGGCTCCTACTACGCAAATACAAAATTGCCTAATTCTGATATGCATAGTAAAATGCTCGCTTTTTGTTGGCTCTAATCATTTTTCATCGATTCTTCTTCAATGGGCCGAACTATCTCCATCATCCACTCTATGAGGCTAAGAAATCCTCCGACATTGGCTGCACCCCACGAAAGTATTTCTACATCACCAAATTAGTAGATTTTCATTTACTTAACATGACTAGATAGAGAACCGGTCAATAATTTTAATGATTTCAAATTCCAATATGTGGCTCTTTCCTTGATGCGTAGTAAGCAACGTCCTAGGGCTGGCATCGGGTAAATCTGGAGGCCAATACCTCACGCATACCCGCGTTCTTTAAGCCACTGTCCCACAACTATAATGGTTTATATAGATACTTTCTTTTGATGAATCAATAGGAGACCCTATTGATGATAAAAAACCAACGAAAAAAGGTGGATGGGGTTTTATAACCAGCACGATCTCCTCGATGGTTGGGCTATTCGTTGGAAGATTCATCTGTCTCTATTGACAGTTAACATTCGAGATTTCAGGAGTTATGTTATACGGCGATGTGGCTTAGGCGTGGATAAAAGCAATGTGCTTGACAATTCACGCAACACTATTCCCATCCTTGTCGACGTCCCGGCCATCACAACCGTAACAACGGTGCCTGGATACGCCATTTCTGATTTGGATCGAGATATCAAGATCCAAAGCGTAGATAGTCAAGAGCTATAGGATCTTGAAGCTGCAATCAATCGTGGCCTCCACCGGCTAATCTCATTCGATCGATCGTGGGCGAGATGATAGCCATATAACCTTCCATTGGATTTCTATGCACTTTGCTAAATCGCTGGGGCTTAAGCGGTCTAAGTTGTGGGGGTTCGTGTCTCTTAATTTCTCACGATCAGCATGATGTCTTCACCTATCGCTGTCACCTAAGTCTCACTTTGAGGGTTTCCACCACCGCTCAATACAGTTGACACTATCAAGCTCTCAAAAATGTACTTTATTAATGTTGCTCACATAATCAGCGATAATTTATATCTCATCCTATAATACTCGACCAGGTAGATGGATTCAGTTAAATTTATTTCTAGATGCTTGTTCTATACCTATCTTTATCAAAATTTCATATCCCCCTAATACCACTAAGACAAGACGTGATTTTAAGTGTGTCATTAAGGTTACTAGGTTGTAGGACAACATTGCTAGGACTCTTAATGAAGCCATTGTCTTTTGATACAACGCCGAGGCAACATACGGTGCAATTAACAGAGAGAGATTGACAAGTGAGCGGGATTAGCGTCGTTTGTTTTAGTGAGTCCCCCATCATTAGGCTACTTGGCTGTAGGCCCAAATTCTGCTTAGTGAATCTCCGTGAATCAGGGGGATCAATGTCAGCTAGAGGTCGTGATATCTCGGGAGCAATGCCTACTCCCACGTGATGCGACAATCAGATAGCGACGTCATCACCGAGCGCCGGCCTTCAATGGCAGCTTAGCTGTATTCTTCCGAAAAATCCACCAATTCCCATTTAGTTTACTCCCCTAGTATCAATTTCCAGAATGTCCGCCCTGTCATCGATTCGATCTGCGCGTGGCTTCTCACTCCTGCGCCTCGGAGGACTACAATTTCACCACGTCAACTCATCCTCCTTAATGCGACTGTATCCCGTCTCTCGCTCATTGCATAGCCTATCCAGCACTGGCAAAGTCCGAAATAGCTTAACATCATGCCAACTTCCATTTTCTATCCGGTCATCGCTCCCCAAACCCACAGTGAGAACCTACGCCGATCGAAACGGATCTACCGGAAAAGCCGAAGCCGATCTCCTGGTCGAGGAATTACAAGAGCTGTACGAAGTTGCTAAAGACGAGTTCGAAATTGCCACTGAGAGCACCGACTCATCAACCATCTATGCTGCTTCGGACCGTGAGTCTGCCCGCGATGCTCTAAACCAGCTGTCCGCTGTGTACAGCCTCTACACTGCTCGTCCTGGGGAAGTTGAGAATGAGACCGACGAGTCATTGTCTGAGGTAGAGGAACCGGAGGAGAGTGCTATTGTTGAGACCCAATACAATCCGGCGGAGATCTCACAGGGTGTCAAGGATGAAGTGCGTAGGCGAGTTGGGCATCGGATTCGGGAGTTGAAGAATGCGATTGAGGCACTTGAGGAGAGGGCTATGGAAGATTAAGAGAACTTTTTATCATTCGACTGTTCGAACTCGTGCATATCACTACTGAGGTGCAATGTTAATATGGGTTCCTTCTATAGGTGCGGCAATTGTAAAGTTTAAGTCTATCGGGAGCTTTGTATGTTGTTTTTCAGGGGGGAAATACGCGGCATCATCTTTTGCATCTTAAGTTCATAGTTTCAAATTTTCTTATGCGTGAATCTCGCACCTGACATGCAGGGATGAAAGCAAATCATAACATCTAAAAGCCACATGCGAAAGAGATCAGCCGGGCCAATCAAAGAGTTGATCGGTTCAGGCTTTAAAGGCGATATTCAATTAAATCATTGGTGAAAAATCTCGGCAACATCAACGCCAAGTGGTATCAAGTTTTTTAGTAGTTCTCGAAAATTAGCAAAACGCCAGAAACAAAGTGTTTCTCAACCATCCATAGTACGCCGGCGGAAAATAGCGCCTGGAACCGTTGGGTCGTAAGACATGAAAATCACATGCAGTGATGGAATTCAAAGGGTGTGGTTCATTGGACCAGAGTGAATGGGGTCATAGTGAAGTGGTCGGGGCTCGGTGATGGGAGGGCCGAGCTTGGTTCTTGTTTATGTGTTGTTCTCTGGTGGCGTTTCAATTGATCTGCGGCGAATTGGTGTTAAATGTAGGCGATCAAAAACCAAGGCACAGGTCACAGAACTTACCAGGACGTGTAAAACTCTTGGTGCACCCTGGGAAAGGGCATTTGTGTTTTCGCTCTCCGTGTGCTGGATGGAGTTAGTTTAAAAAAGAGTCAAACATTTAAAGTGGGAATGAGCATCATACTAAGTCTGTGGCTAGACATATTGGAAGACTGATTTGATGTTAGAACATGAGCGAGCATTTGACGTAAAGATAGAGGAACTCACATCGCCCGTGGTGAAGGTGCATCCTGGCCAGGTGCATTTGAAAGGCTTCTCGCCAGTGTGGGTTCGAGAATGTGTTTCTAGGATAGTTAGCGGTGGGCTCGAGAGGGAATCCAAGGGCGACGTACTCAATTCGCTGCTATCTGTAAATGATTTACCGCAGTGTTTGCATTTATATGGTTTGTCGCCGCGATGGCTGCGCTCATGCCGGTCTAGTGTCGCCTGTCTAGCAAACGCCTTTCCACAAACCGAGCATGAGAAGTTCTTGTCTAGAAAGGTGCCGTTGGCGTTAGTACATGTGTCCAGTGGTCGGCGGATAGTGATACGATGAGCGTGACGTACAGTTACTGTGTGTCAAGAAATGGCCCTGAAGCTTGGACTTCTGCGAGAAGGGATCGTCAGGACGATGGCATCCTTCCCAGCAGCAGTAGTACCCATTGCCCTTGGCACCGTTCACGGTATTCATGTGATTGGCAACGAGGTGCTCCTGGAGAGCACCACAATCGGCAAAGGTAGCACCGCAAGCAGCCTTGATTCCATGGATTTCCGTTGCCCACTTGCAGATATGCAGCTTGCTGTCCGCTGGAGAAAAGTCCGGTGTGGTAAGCACGGATGAGGAGTCAACTTCCAGAGGTGGTGGTGTCTCTCCTGGGCTGGAAAGGAGATGAGAGTTGATGCATGAGCGAGAATGTCGGGAATAATGGGAATACGGGTGAGAATGAACATGGTGGTGAGCTCGACAACGGTGATGGTTGCGGTGAGGCCCTTTGCGGATATTTTGCAGATTGAAATCATTCGGGTTTTTGAAATGATTGTGGACGTGATGATGTTCAGGATTAATGCAGTTGAATGCATCTGATGTGTCGATTTTGGGTTTTTCGAAGGTTTCGAGACCGGTCTGGGGAGGCTCAGGTACGTGTTGATCTTGGCATATCGAGAAGTCGGAACACATACCCAGCATATGGAAAACCTCCGCTGGGTTGACTTCGGCCTGTGCGGGAACAGGAGGCGCCACGAACATCCCTTGCCAGTCTTTCTGAAAATCATGGCACTCGAAGTGGTTCGATACGTTCTGATCGCAGTGGGTGGCATGCGTTTGGTATGAGGATATGAAGCTTTCCTGTTGAAATGGATCGATAACACCAGGGAAAGGATGCTGCATGGCCTTTGTCGTATGACCCACGGAATTATTTCCCATTGTCATGGAAGGGAACCCCCCCGTCTCTAGCGATAGTGAGGAGTTGAGTCCAAATAGACCGTCAAACCCACAATCTTGACTAGCAGGACCTTCGCAGCAGTGGTCCTCGAAGCACAGAGGGTCAATACTATCACAGTGGTTGACCTCGCAGTTATCTTTGCAGTGGTTGGCATCACAATGAGTATCGTTGCAGTGGTGATCGTGACAGTTGTCATCATCGCAGTTGCCATCCTCGCAGTGAGTAACTGAGCAGACAGTGGAAGTGTCACAGCCGGTAAAGCCGCCACACATGGACCCGCAGTCTAGCGCGCAGTCGTCTACATCACAGCAGGCCTCATCGACCTCAGAATGGGGCAGCGGTGTTTGGGTTTCATGACTTGAACAGTTCCAACGATGTTGAAGAGCTTTACCGGGTGGATCTACCGCCGCCTTACCGTCAATGTGGAAGGCTTCCCAGTTGCATTCAAGGCAGAAATCGCCTTGTTGGGTTTGGGACACCATGGTGCACGGTTCACTTCAGAGGATGGAGGGAAGGTATTGGGTCGAAATTCAGTCGGGTTTTTCAGGAACAGTGTCGTCACAACAGCGTGTACAACGAACAATATGGGGAAAATGCAGTCAAGGAACCGAGCAGTGTGCGACCGTAAGCGGGACAGTGAATTCCCGACAGGCACGATATCCCACTACTAAACCCACGAACCCACGAGTCAAAGTGTCACCCGTTTGTGCGCCGTTCCCGAGAGACAGTTTAGGCTGTAGTACCGAATGATATCCTCTCACAGCGCGGATAGATTCGCAATCGTGTCATGAGCTAGGACTGGACTGGTTAGGAACAGGCGCAATCGGGTAGTTGACCGATATTGACGTGCAGGAAAATGAAAAAAAAGAGGACCTTGGAGTCACAGATGCAGGATCAAATCCAAAGTATTTGGAGAGGATCAGGGCCATCTGTCGACTGAGACCCCTCAATGTAGCCGTGAGGACCTTCGGGACGGAGGATAGGATGGGGACCTTGGGGGTTAGGTCTCATGATTTTCAGGCGAATCGTAGTGCGTGCTTTGGCGACTCCAGGAGATCTGATGAGTTTGTGCGATATAGCTTCGAGACTGGAATTGGAGATTTGAGAATAAGAGAAACTGGACAACGCTCCCCAGTGTTCCCCAGCATTCCGACGAAGGATTCCTTTCCCCACAGAGATATTTTCCAATGGGAGATCTTGACTAAGCTCTATTCTGCCCCTTTGGCCCGACCCGCCTTGATAACCCAAATCCGGTCGTTTGTCTGTAGACACACTCAGTTTGCATCCGGTGTATAGGGGCTCAATCTTGACGATAGAATCTATTAGCTGACATCCTATTTCTCTTGATCACTCCGGATATCCTGCTAAATCGAAAAGGTCTAGGCTTACTAGAATAAATCACGGAAAACTCTCACCGCCTTTTGCCCCGGATCGACTATCAGCTTATCGCGCTTCTCTAACATCCACTTGTGATGATCTGTAAATAACAAAGTAGTTGACCTAATCTACCTTGAAGAAACCCACTACATCCAATTGGATCATTCAAAGATCAATTTGGCACCGTAGCCGAGGCTCAAATCAATAATCTTTCCCTGCCTTGCGCCCACCCCACACTAACCGCAACAACAAACCCTCCCATCTCTGCGATTCGATACACAATTACAATGGGCAACATTTGCTCCCGCTCTTCCAACGAGGCAGATCCATTCAGTCAACCGGGCCGTGTAGTCGGCACCAACTCAGGGAGTACCGACGCATCCCGCGCTCCACCTCCAGTCAAGACAAACTGGAAGGCTACACCAGGTCGCACTCTGGGTGAGAGCACTACACATAGTAGTGCTGCTGGAACGGACGAGGCACGTGCAAATGCTGCAATTGCCGCACAGGTATGACAGCTTGTTTCCCGCTAAGATATGTTATGCAGGGCTGTGATCGCTGACTGGTGGGTCTAACAGAAACGTGCCGAAGGCGCCTCTGCCAACAAAGGGAAATTGGGATCAAGACTAGCCGCACAAAAAGCACAAACTCAAGCGCAGACATTGGATCAAGTCAGTCGCACAGAGAGAGCTGCGCGAGATATAGATGGGGCCGAGGCTGCAAGAAGATGGGAATAGGCATACTCAAGCGACATTTTGATTTGATCACTACTTCGGTAATATCCCGGCGATTTGTTTGGCGTTTAATTTGCGGGCTTATTGTGTCTCTTTATTGTCTCTATATAGCGCATGTTTGGGGATCTTTTGTGTGAAGGTGTCAAATCTTTTGACTTGTTTGTCGTTGGAAGTGCAGAATCAAGCTTCCCTTGAATTTGGATACAAGTGTAATTGTAATGATACAGCTATGTTGCTCTCATTGATAACTTCGACTAACTGATTTTTCTCTTACTCCAATACTCGATGAGAGTGATCGTGAACGGACTCTTTAGCTGCAGCTTCTACAAGAACCAAAACACATCAAGCATATCGTACAATCATTGATTTATTCAAGGCACATTTTGGAGTCCACTATGAACTAGAGAGTGACCTAAAGAACATTGTAGCGGCCACCCACTGGTGCGCGCGCCTCACCCTCTGAGGCTGCCAGTGTAGCGTCCTTTAGCAGGCGTCTAAGCTCGTGTATGGCGGTGGTGACTGAGATCTCCGTCTCACCCTCCACCAGAATGTACAGCTTGGGAAGTTCCCCGGGGCCAGGTTCCTTCCCAGCGGCATAGAAATTGCCTTTTGTGGTGATGGAGGTTCCGGATGCTTCCAGGATCTTGGCCACGTTCGTGCGGTTTGTAACGGCCCAACGTGCTTTTTCTGTTTGAAAAAAAATTCAAAGTGTAAGTAACTATCTGAAAGATGAAGGGAAAATGGAAAAACTCACGAGGGAAATCGTTAATTTCCAGCGTTGCATGGAACGCTCCGGCATCAGGCCCACGGTTATCAATAGGTACACCCGATCTCATCACACCTGCGCGGCTCAAACGTGCGTGAATATCTGCAACGGCAGAGCCCACCTTGTCCAACGGGTTCTTTGATACGTTCGCCGGTGCTCTCTCTGTACGATGCACAACGATCTTGCCATCAAGGTCAACGCCTTTCGGCACACCCGGCATGGAGACTGAAGCTGTAGCTGCTGGTACAGGGGGCTCAGCAGCAGATCGGACAGCTGAAAGAGCCTTGTTGAATCGATCATCTGACTCTTGCTCGGTCTCAAGTTTATCTTCCTCATCGTCCATGTCATCGCCAGTTTTGTATGCTTTCCGCTCACGAAGTCGCGCAGTTTCACGTTCCATATTAAGACGGTCCAACCCTTTACCCCCGAATCCATGGCGCGAGAAATTCTTTTCCTTACCAGACTTGACCTTCTCATTGAACCCATCAACTAGCTTTTGGAGAGGCTCAGGGACTTCCTGTCCACTTTGCCTGAGAGCCTTTGCAATATCCAACGCATACCTATCCTGTTCCTCGGTGACGAACGTGACGGCGGTTCCAGTGTTGCCAGCCCGTCCAGTGCGGCCGGCACGATGGACATAATCCTCCAGGTGGTTAGGTGCATCATAGTTGACAACGAGCTTGAGCTGCTTGACATCCAACCCACGAGCAGCAACTGACGTTGCAACCAGGATAGGGAAAATGCCTGCCTTAAATTCTTGAATGGTGCTATCACGATCGATCTGATCTTTTCCGCCGTGAATCGACATGCACGGATACCCCTTGTACATCAATTGCTTGAGTAAGTCATCAGCGGCCTCTTGACGGTCCACGAAAATCAACGTGCGATAGTCTTCATTCGCGTCATCTTCATACAGATTTCCCAGGAGCTCCAAAAGGCGGAAGAATTTCTGGTCATTGTTACGGACCTCAACAATTTGGGTGATCTCTGGAGCCACAACACTCTTGCCACCTACTGTGATCTCCACTGGCTCGTTCAAAGTTTTCCGGGCCAATGCTTCCATGCTCTTTGGGAATGTGGCCGAAAAAAGGACAGTCTGCCTGTCCGGTCGGATGCTAGCCATGATCTTCACAACTTGTGGTCCAAAGCCCATATCGAACATGCGGTCCCCCTCGTCGAGAACGACATACGTGATGCGGCGTAGATTGAGGACCCGTCCTTGATTTGCGGCGAGCAGATCGATGAGACGACCAGCCGTGCATACAATAATTTCAGCACCTCGTTTCAGCTCGGCAATTTGGTCTTTGATCGGGGCTCCGCCATACGCGCAGACAGCACGCAGACCCAAGGCCTTCAAGAAAGGCTTGCAGTCTTTATGAATTTGGGTGGCCAGTTCACGGGTGGGTGACAGGATCATACCGATGGGGCCGTCTGTACTAGCCAAGGGTCGTTGATCTTTGATGTGTCGGAACATCGGAACCAGGAAAGCGCCGGTCTTTCCTGAGCCAGTTTTTGCTACGCCGATGACATCGCGACCGGACATAATCGTGGGGATTGCTTGCGCTTGAATGGATGTGAGGTTTTCCCACCCGAGTTTGTGAACAACATCTAATGTCTGAACTCCCAGACCGCATTGCGACCACTTTTGAACAGGCTTAGGGACGTCGCGACCGCGCACCTTGATGCCATCCAGTTCAAGTCGCAAGTTTGCTACCTCCTCCTCGGTCATCTCGGCGAGGTTGGACGGTTCAGTGTAAAATTCCTTGCGGAATGGCTCATAATCGATCTTTGTGTGGTCGATATCAGGCATCTCCCGCTTCTTTTTTTTTATTGCCGCCAGGGCGAGTACATCTTCAGCTTTCTCGTCACCAACTGCAGTCACATCCACATCCTCATCGTCGCCAAACATCGCCTCAGGCCGTTGATGTGTGGTCTTCTTGGCAAACGTGGCCCCAATTGTCCGTTCAGGCGGCGTCGAGTCTTGGAGTTCAGCCATGAATGCATCCAGGGGATCAATTTCTTCGGCATCGTCAACGTCCATGGGGGTAGAATCGGCCTGTGCGCTGGTCGTCTCCTCCATATGGACATCATCGGTTTGATTCTGGAGTCTTGTATCTCGTCGTTCACTTGCAGCACGCGCTTCGGCTGCTGCGTGTTCTTGGGTTCCTTCAACTTGCATGTCTACATCGTCTTCTTCCACGGCATCGTCCACCTGCCCACCCACCTCGAGAGGCGTGGTCGGCAATTTTTCAAGTTTCTTGCGTGTTGATTTCTCATCTGCATCCCCAAAGCCCAGAGTTTCAAATGCAGAAGGTTTCTCTGTTTCAGCAACTTGTCTAGTGCCCAGGCCAAATCCGCTGACATTACCTTTGGCTTTCAAAGGACCAGAGGGCGTAGAGGGCGCAGCACTAGGTGTAGTGGATTTTGTCAATGATGGAGCCTTGACAGACGCCGGGACGGCAACATCTGTACCAAGCACGGCGGAAGTAGCTGTGGTCGCGGTTGATGATTTGACGATGGCCTTTGGATCAAACTTCAACTTTCCGGGAAATGAGGCAGGACCTTGAGACCCAATTGATTTGCGGTCAATCTCCTCGAGAATCTTTTTGGGATCAACTGATGACTGTTCTTGTTGCTTCTTCTCGCGTTCCGCGGCTTGTTTCTGTTTCCATGCTTCAAGCTTGGCAAGTCTCTCTGATTTCTTTTGCTCGTCTGTTTGGGCAGTGGGGGCCGCCGTGGACGGCTTTGATGGCTGCGGGATACAATTAATAAAGCTTGGCATGACCCATTATGCAGGAAGCTTACCTCTCGAGTTCTTGACCTGGACCGTCGGCTCGGAGCACGATCACGGCTGTCATCCCGTCTAGACTTGGGCTTCAAGTCAGCAGAATCATCTATCCGCCTGCGATCCCGATCGCGGGAGTCATCTCGCCTGGAACGGTAATCCCTATCACGACTTCTGCGGCGGTGATCATGGTCGTCATCTCGTCGCCGTTCTCGGGATCGATCTCTTCTAGCTGGACGATAAGTATCTTCGTCGCGCCGGTCTACGGGGAGGTCTCGTCGTCGGTATGAATCTCTATCGCGAGGGCGATCGCGCCCGCGGTATCTTCTCTAGATATCACACGGTTGGTCAGACATTGCAGGATAAAATGAGAATTTGCGATGCACCACACGCACCTCTGGGCTGCGGGATCTGCGGTAACTGCGCCCATCATCCCGCCTAGTTCTGTCATAGCGATCATCCTCTCTGCGAGGCCGCCGGGATGAAGAATATGTGCTGCCTACAGGTGATGGTGAGCGAGTATCTCCGTGGCGAGCCATTGTTGCAGGCTGATCAGTGAGTGTTACTGGAACGCAAAAGCACCCGGGACACAGATCGATGGAGGAGGAGAGAGAACGCGCAAGAGAAACTGCCCCGTGAGAAAAGCTTTTGAGACGACAATTCAAGTGTCGGGCCTCCCAGAAAGAAGAACGTGTGAGGTGTTTGCCTATCGCATCGTCATTTGCGCAAACCGTAGGAAGAGCCCAATTACATAAGATCGAGCGGATGAGCTAGGCCTAATCCGGATAGGTACACCAAAGCAGGCGCGACTCCTGCTCCGCTTGCGTCAACAGCGCCTCTTGTCGATTCTGAGCTTTGGAAAACTCAATCGCAATTTTGTCTCGTTTTTTTACTAAACCTCGCTACAACAAGTTCTACGTCGACAGTCACTTCATGTCTTGGCAGTCCGCAGCTCGGGGGGGCTTCCTCCGCACCCTGCACCGCGGTGCTCTCTCTCCTCGTACTGGCGTGAGCGACTTGCAGAATCAGCTTGGTCGCATCTGTCTGGCAGCTCACCGTGGTCCGACACCTTCACAATTCCAATCTCTGTTCCAATCTAACTCATTCGCGACTATCTCAACCCCTCTCAAGACGAGCAAGACACCCAAAGCGAATGGGTCTAGAAGGGCCGATAAAAAAACGAAGAAGGATGCCCTCAGCGAGGAAGAACAGGAAAAAAGGAAGATCAAGGAACTTCGGGCTCAGATAAAAGAGCTCAAGGCGACTGCCCTGATCACGCGGCCCAAAAAGCTGCCCACTTCTGCCTACACTCTAGCTTTCATTGAGAAGATGCGCGAGATCAAAGGTCAATACCCGGCTAAGGAAGGATTCTTAATTGGTGTGGCGCATGCGAAATCCCTTGATCCTCAAGATGAGGAGGTATGTGTCCTTGAGCTTCTCCGTGTACGTCAGGAGCGGCATTCTAATCTACCAAATCCAGAGACTCCAAGCTCAGGCCAGAGCGAACATAGCCGCTAACGCCGCTGCCTACGACGCGTGGGTCAAGTCACACACACCTCGCCAGATCAGGGATGCCAACACTGCCCGCCTAACTCTTTCACGAATTGGCGACAAGAACTATGCTTCCATCAAAGATGACCGCTTGCCCAAAATACCCAACTCCGCATACATTATATTCGTGAAGGACCGTGTCGATACCTTTGGCTACCAGGGAAAGCCTGGCACAGAGACTTTTGGAGCCATTTCAGATGAATGGAATAAACTACCCCAATCGGAGAAAGATGTAAGGACCCTTGGCAGAGCCATGTATACCGGATTGCAGCCGCTGACCACGAATCTAGCGCTACCACAAGTTGCAAGTCGAAGATCGCCAACGGTATGAGAGAGAGCACGAGGAGGTGTACGGAGTCCCAGCACCCAAGAGCGCTCTGTATAAATCACCGGAAGACTACAATTGAACCTGAGCCTAAACCCCGAACCTGATTTGTACCGGTGACTTCCATTGGGATGATACTGACCTAGATGAGGTTTCTTTCTTTCGCAAAACGGTTAGCTCACTTCGGACTTTCCAAGCTTGTTTATCGTGAGCTGTTTTCAGGTTCCCATATGGCATGATTCACGTTTCCCTGCTGCATTGTAGTTCGTCCTGTCGAACTTTCTCGCTGTATTGATTGTTTTTGATTGTTCGAGCTGTGGTAACCCTGCAATACGATATCATAACGAATCAATGGAGAGTTTACCACCTCCAAGCCAATTCAATTCACTCTGCGCAGTAAAATTGTCTGCATTAAATGAATGAGTCAGGCAGAAAACCCCCATTTTAATTCTTCCTTTATCCCGCAGACTCACCATCAACCCCGCACTGGGCCATTATTTTTTTCTCTCTGAAGCTCAAGTGGCGGTGTGCGCAGGATGGGTTGCGCTTGCAGGTGACCTTTTTGGTCTGGGACATTCATCGAGTAAGTTGGGCTTGTGGGGAATTTTGCAGTATGTTGTACTTTCGGAGTTCAAGATGCGGAGTGTTCTGTGCAGCATTTGTAAAACACATGTGGTTCATGGTTCTAGCCCGAGTGTAAAAAAAATACGAGCATTGCAGGACCAAACGGAACCATGTTGTACATGATGTGCAACCAAGATAACGAAGCCCCTGCATTTAGGGTTTGAAATTGTCGCAACATTTCGCGTACTTTCTTCTATATAATTGGACTTTAACGTTGGGTGCAGTACCACGGTACTGCACAACCTATCTTCACGCAACCCACGGACTTGAGGTTGAGAACCATGGAATCGGAGAACTGTTGTCGCGGGGTCTGTGCAACATGGGGTTGTTGATCTCTCGACTATGCCATGCAGATTGTAGAGGAAATAAAACCACACCTATGTAGATATGTACAGAGTACGGACTACAGCTTTTCAATTTTTTAAGGGAGTGCTGTTACTCCACGATTCGTGGAGGTGTGCTTTTGAGTCATGGGTGTGTGTTCCCAGCCATCTATATATTTGCCTGCCATCTCATAGGGGATTGACACAAATCCAAGCAAAACCAAATATGATATGTTATTCAAGATTGAGTGACTCATTTTCCATGCTAAGTCTCAAGATATCCTCGATCACATCAATGCAATAACAACATTGAACAAGTACATTGTGCCGAGTACGGAGCACATAACAACATACATACATTTTAACTTTGCGGGCCACAACATAAATGGGATGATCTTTACCTCCACCGCCTGAACTTATCCCTGCCTCTCCAGAAGAGTCTAACTTTTCCATTTTTTCCCCCTTGACTCCCTTGACTCCTTGAAATTTCTTTGAGTTCAGTATACCACAGGCACAGTTCTACAGACTGTCACACCGTATTTGAATCCATCATCACTTATCAGCATCCAAAAACACCCGAAATTTGCGCCGGTCGTTCAGGGAGGCTAACTGACTTAAATTTAACTTGATATTCTGTACAACACGCGCTCGCGCAACTTCACCACGCTGATATCCTAATCTCAAGACTCCGCGCGAAAATAGCCACCGTTTATTATCGATTGGGACAACATTCCCCACCAGGACTCGGATCCACCCCACCCACCGATGCATTTGCTATTCGACATCGCTGAGTTGCCACAACAGTGATCGGATCGACTGTAAACTCGGCGCATGTGACCCACGACATGGAAGCGATTGAGGGATCTTATCGCACATGTGCGGGGAAGACCAGCGCAGCGGAGGATGTCGCACACAACACACGAAACCTGCGAATGGATGACAAACACCTCGAGAAGGTCTGGACTCTTTTTTCGACTGAGCTGGTGGGATTTTGCTTGACAGATAACCTGGTGCACCAAAAAGTGGGATTGGTCACCGGATTGAGTTCTTGCTCTCCGACTCGCTTGTCAGAGCCACCGTCGTACGACCAACCACCGCCTTCCTACAACGATGTGATCGATGATCTCCCTCCTGAATACTCCGCGCTGCCTCCACTTGCGCATCGCAAATCAACAACTCTTTCATTCGCGCCAAAAAGTCGTCAAACATTACAGAAATCATTATCCTCGCTGCTGGAAGATCGCATACTAGATTCAGGCATTGATTTTGAGAACTTTACCGGTATCAGGGAACATAAGAAGAAAAAGCCGGTGGCCAAGAAAGCAGCACCGCCTCCTTCTCCCCCTCCTCCACCGCCACCACCGGAAGGCGGGGCTAATGGAGGAGACGACAATTCCACCGGTGACGGTGGAGCTGGTGGTGATTCAAACGGGGCTGGAAGCGGTGACGGGGGAGATGGTGGTGACGATTGGGGTACTTGGAATTGGAGCGGAAAGAAGGACAAGAAGAAGAAAGCGGAGGAGGAAGAGGAAGAGAAAAAAGCGAAGGAAGAGGAAGAGAGAAAAGCCAGGGAAGAAGAAGAGAGACAAGCCAAAGAGGAAAAAGAGCGAAAGGCCGCTGAAGACTCTGCTGCCAAAGATCTTAGCTGGTCTGAAGATGGACGGGGGGGGTGGGGGCAATAACTCGTGGGCTGCCTTCACGAATTTAGGGAAAAAGAAGAAAGCAAAGGTAAGACCATCCTCTTCCAACGTGCAAGACGGGCGTCTAAGTATAATTACAGGGTGAAGCTGCACCTCCTGGGGGGTTCCAGGACGTAAGTCTGGACCAAGGCGTACCGCAATTGGACTTGAAACTCGATAGTCCGGCCCCAAAGACTGGCGGAAGTGGTTTCAGCTTCGGAGGATGGGGCAAAAGCTGGGTTACCGGTAGCAAGCTTGATCCTGTTGGAGACCCTCCCTCCAATGACGTATCCAAGGACAAAAACCCCTGGGGAGCAACCTCCAAGGATATTGGCGATTTCGATTTCGACTTGAAATCAGCGTCCGTCAAAACCAAGCCAGAAGATGACCGGGGAGCAGGTTGGGATGTGAGCAAGGGCAAAAAGGAGATGGAGCCTGAACCGGAGGCTCCTGCTCCTCTCCCTCCGCCTGCACCCAGAGTTGATTTCACGCAGAAAGCCTGGTATTTAAATCTCTCCAAAAAAGAGCAGCGTAAAGCGAAGAAGGAGATGGAGAAGAAATACAAAGACGAAGATGAAGCGGCAGCAAAGGTGGCAGCAGACCAGGAAGCAGCAGCAAAAGAGGCAGCAGAGCAGGAAGCAGCCAAGGCTGAGGCAGCGGCAGCAGCAGCAGCGGCTGTACCCGAGCCAGAACCTGAACCGGTGATTGAGGAGACTGAGAAACCAGCCGAAGCAGATACTGGTTGGGGTTGGGCTTTCCACTGAAGACCAAAGACAAGAAGAAAAAGAAGACTGATCCTTTAGCTGACCCGGAGCCTATTATCGATGAACCACTGGCAAAAGTAACAGAGCCAGTTGATATTTTAACCGCTTTGGGTGTTTCCTTAAAGGACAAGAAGAAAGGCAAAGGCAAAACCGAGCCAGTACCTGAGGCAGAACCCAATCCAGATCCAGAACTAGAACCCGAGCCAGAACCCGAGCCAGAGGCGCCAAAGGTCCCTGATGAGCCTCTATACGCGAATTGGCGTGAGATATCGTCTAAAGAACGTAAGAAGAGAGAGAAACAACTAGTGCGGAAGGGCCTTCCGATCCCAGGCAAGGATTTCGAGCTGCCATCAGAACTGCCACATAAAGAAGTGCCCGAATCGGTTGTTAAACCGGAGCCAGAGCCAGAACCAGATACAGTGCCTGAGTCTGAGCCAGATCCTTCGCCCGAGCTTGAAACAAAACAACCGGTCGAAGAGGGATCTTGGGGCATTTGGGGGCTAGTGAAGGACAAGAAAAAAATGAAGAGCAAGGATATACAAGAACCTCCCCCACGTGCGCCGACACCTCCTTCCCTGGGCTTGACCCCAGAGCCGGAAGCTTTCTATGATAATACCGACGATATTTGGGCGGAGCTAGTCCCTAACACCTCTAAGGGCGCAAACAAGACCACGAAAGCTATAGAAGCCCCCAAAGAGGAAAAACCTTCTAAAGGCTTCTGGTCAACACTGACTGGGGGCTCTACGAGCAAAAACACATCAACGAAGGTGGCGATGCAAGAGGAGGAACCTGAGCCTACAGAAGAGGTGGAATTGCTTGTTGATGTTGGCAACAATCCCCCAGAGCCTGAACGGGAACCTGAACCAGTTCCTGAACTCGAACCTGAGCCTCCTGTCCCCGAAAAGAAATCCAAGTCTAAGGTTCCAAAGCTCAGTGTTGCTGAACGCATCATGGCCCTAGAGAAAGCCAAGAAGGAGAAGGCAAAGGCAGAGAAAGCGCGCGTAAAGAGCAAATCCAATGAAGAGAAGGCCGAGCCGGAACCGGAACCGGCTCCAAGGCCTAAAACTCCGGTTGACGAACCCGCTCCAACGAGTAAGAGTTCAAAATCCAAATTGAAGACAACGGAAGTTCTTGAGTTTAAAGAAAGGAAATTCTCCAAGGATTTTGTCCCTGGAAGCTTCCCAGGCCTTGGAGATGAACCCGAGCCCGAGCCCAAATCTGAGCCTGGACTGCAACCGGAACCGGAGCCACCCGCTCCGGATTTTTCAAAAATGACGAAAAAGGAACTCAAGAAGTATAAAAAGGCCGAAGCTGAGAAAGCTGCAGCAGCGGCGGCTGCCAGGGAGCCAACCCCACCCCGGGAACCTGAACCAGAGCCAGAGCCCGTAGCCGAGGAGTTAGAAGGGAAGGACAAAGGTGCTCTTCCGGCATCTTCGCCGGAACCTGCGGAAGAGCCTCCTAAACCTCCCCAAAATGACCGAGCACAAACTGAATGGAAAGCGAACTCCTTTTTATGGGGTGGCTTTTGGGGGGCCGCATCGCCCTCAAAGACGCCTATCAATGAGGAACCCAAGGCCCAGGAGGAAACAGAGCCTCCAAAGAAGTTGAAAGAACCCAAGGACCAAGAGGAAACAGAGCCTCTGAAGAAGTTGAAGGAACCCAAGGCTCAGGAGGAAACAGAACATCCAAGGAAGCTGAAGAAACCCAAGGCCCAGGAGGGAACGGAACCTTCAAAGAGGTTGAAGGAACCCAAGGCCCAGGAGGAAGTGGAACCTTCACAGAATTTGAAGAAGGAACCCCAAAATCAACAGGAAGTAGAGCCTCCTATGAAAAAAGAGTCTTCTCGAAAATCTCGACCCAAAGAACCAGAGCCTGAAGTGGAAAGGTCTTCTGCGTCTGACCGGGAAAAACAGCGAGAACCAGAGGGGCGGTCCTTGAAGAACCAACGTGGCGTCGCCTGGGCCAACATGGTACTAGGTACACCTCAGTCCAGAAACAAATTGACCCGCAAACCTGCTTCCTCATCGAAACCCGCATCTAGGCGTCCATCCTTCAATATCGATGACAAACCTGCTGATCTAGTACCTTCAGATGAGAAGCCTGAGGTTTCTCTCAAAGCAGCCAAGTTGATGGGCATGGATGCTTCCAAGTCTCGACGTGAGCACCTGCGCACAGACAGGCGAAAATCAGGTACATACCTTTTCCTCGCATCCCATTCATTTTTGCTGATTTCCTGCCTGCAAAACAGTTCGAGATCCGCATGCGATTGAGGATAATGACCTCGTTATGGTTGACATGGAAGATGTTGAGGGTCACTCACCCAGGGAGGCCTCAAGGCAGAAGTCAAAGAGACAGGTGTGTTGGGATGCAAACAGTCTGATTTGTGCTGCGTGTACTAATCTGCGGCCCTTCATAGTCGCGTCCTAGGCCGGACGACGAGGAAGGTGCTGTCCTGGTTGATTCGTATCAAGCACACCCGTCCCCAAACATCAAGCACTGGCCCGACGATACGGCCGTTGTCGATGCGCCTCCAAAAGAACGCCGTCTAAAGCGCTCCAACACCGCGCCGGTGAAGAAACAAGAGTCCGGTGGATTCATGGGACTCTTTGACTCTCTAAGAAAAGGCACACGCCCAGACCTTCCCGAACGGCCAGAGATGCCCGAAAGACGCAAATCTCGCTCATATCGCGACGATGACAGAAGATTTGCGCCTGAGATGGAGCACGACGGCGCTCGAAGATCACGTCGCGAAGATCGCCGTCGTGGATATGTCCGCCCAGACACCGATGCCGAAGGGCTTGTAACTGACGCCGCCGGTGCAGCTGCAGGCGGCGAGGCAGAAACCAACGAAGTGGAAGCGCGACGTGCAGCACGCCATTCACGGCGTGGATCCCGAAAGGCACCTTCCGACTCCCGCGTAACCGAAGCTCGGGAAGCAGAGGAGCGGCGCGCGAGGCGAAAGGAACGAGCACGTGAGCAACGTGCTCGCGAAGAGGAAGAGGAAAAACGACTACGAGAGGAAGACCGTCTGCGAGAAGAAAAGCGGGCTCGACGAGCTGCACGCGAAGAACGTCGTGCTCGAGATGAACAGGCGGCTCGTGAAGCCGAAGCCGAAGCCACGGCTGAAGCTAGAGCGGCAGAACGCCGTGAGCGTCGGCGAATGCGCGAAGAGGAAATGCTGGCCGCGAGAGCGTCTCGACGCCGCGAACGTGAGCAAAAGATCCCTTATGAGGTCTATCCCGATGGGCGTGACGTGGATCGTCGCGGAGCTCGTAGTTCCCGTGCTTTTGAAGAGCCTAACGCTCGCCGTCGGAAGTCTAAGGTGGCTCCTGAGCCGACTCGGGAACCGCTAATGACCGGTGGATTGAATCCTGATGGGGGTGCGAAAGACAAAATTTCGTCTTGGGTTTATTCGCAAAGTGATGAGCCCCCCGAGCCGCCGCAAATCGTTCCCACTCTTGTTGATCTGCCTCCTCTCACAGCTGATGACGGAGGTCATACTCATTCCCTCTCGTCTGACGAGGAAGCTCGTCGCGCTCTTCGCCGTAAGGCCCGGCGCCGTGCCAAGTATGAGGAGGAGATTTTAAATGCTCGCTCGCGGCATCGTGGCTCTCATCGTGACGGTATCAAGAGCAGCTCTGGAAGTGGTGATTATGAACGTGATCGTGGGATGAAGTCCCAGCCGGGGAATCGACATGGTGCTACCCCGACTTCGGGTGCTAAGAAGCCCAGTTGGTTCCGCAAATTAACGAACCTGTAAACCAGAAACATGGCCATTCTCTATCCTTGTGTGGTAGGAATCTGTTTTATTTGTTTTATATATCGGTTGCAGCGTTATTTTTTTTTTGATATTTATGAGGTCTGTGATGGATCTCCACACAGACCGGATTTGACGACATGTATGAAGCTCATATGATACTATGACCCAGCAATTTACGCAATTTGGATTCTTTGTTATGATGAAAAGAACACTCATGTGGTTTCGTTATGGCTTTCTGATAGTTGATTTGGTTGCTTTCTCAGATGTGCTTTTTTTTGTATATAGATATGTAGATATAGGCCAGACTTGCATATGGCTGGTGTCAATTTACAAACGACTTAGGGCATCAAGAACAAATCCAACAGAATCAAACTAATTCGGAGTAGTGAAGAGTGTCGCCTGATCCAGGTGTCACCAATGACCTCTTTGCTCTTGTCCACTCCAATCGGATTTGAAGTTTACACCTTCAATGTTGTCCCTCCAAAACCATCTCCATTTACCCTCATCAAAGTCCTCGAGTTGTACAAGTCGAAAAAGCTCCAGACCCAAGCTCCTCAAGGTAGCAAGAATCCGCTCATGACATCCCATACCTCGTGTCTAGCTAACTCACGGTGTCAGGCTTATCTCCCCAAGTCTCAAGCCGAATCCATCATCCACGCCCCAACTCATTAATCCTCCATTCTTCCAGCTCCACCACCAAGCCTACAAGGCTATCCATACATCGCCACATACACTTCAAAACCATTCTATACCAAGTCCCATCTCAAATCCTTCCTACCCTCAAAATGTCCTCCCCCAGCACCGTCTGCGACTTCCAAAAAGAGCGTTCCAACTTTCTCTCTTGGCTCGATGACCAAGCCCGCCTCATCAGACATCAGCCAAAGTCAGAAACCATTGCAGAAGTGAAAGTGAATTTACGGGAACATGCCGTCGAATACCTCGATCGAATCACTCAAGCTGCGACTATCATGGCTTGTGAAGCAAAAGACCATATCTGCGTCACAGAAAAGCCACCCCTGTTCTTTGAGGTTGGGGTTCCGAAACTGTGTAGTGCGCTACAGCTACGATTGCCCCAACTGGCCTCGAGGCTTGCTATCAATCCTAAATGCGATATGTGTGTTCATTTCATTATTATGAACATTCTGGCGGAGCCCGGGTTTTAGGTTGCTCATCTTCAGGTATGGATTGTTGGTCAAGTGCTCAAGGAGATTACTTTGTCATTCCAACGACGTCTTGTAGATAGTATTGCACCGATTCTTTTTCTTTTACACGTCCATCTAGTCTACGCATGTCAAGTATAATGTTTGGGAAGAAGACTTGCTGGTTTCTTATGGGCCGTGTCAGATCCTTTGTTGAGTGGTCTTTTGGTAGTGTTTCTAGGGATGCTTCTGAGAGTCTGACTAGGAGACAGTTCAGAAGGTATTCCTAGTAGGTCTTTTCTATGGTCTGATTTTGGCACCGAGTAAATGATCCCGTGAATTTTGACCTAGGACTTGGAGTACAGACAAGAATTCATGTGGCCTTCTGAAGTCAGTTTAAGTCGTTCGTTAGTCTCTTCAATAGCATTTTCAGAAGTTCTTTTCCATTGTCATCTGGAATTGTATTTTCCCGTCATGAGGAGAGAGGTTTCATATTGAGAAATGGGTGCTTTCAGTTACATCATTCGATATATGCAAGGCATTCGAAATTCAAGCATTTGTTCGATTAAAATTAACGTCACCTTGTGTGTCATATTGAGAATTGGATGCACCGGATTCATCAGTTTAACAAGGCTGTATGTTTCAACATGAAATAGCGTACCTATCTACTACCGTGCCTCATCATGGGGATGAATACAACCTATTCTTTTTAACAAACAGAATCCAGGAGAATCAACCTTGCAAAAAGTTGAAAGCATGTCAACCAAAATGCAGGATCCGGATATATTTAAGGCGCAAGGAGGATAAAAGGCTGAGCTGTAGCCATGGGTATTTTTGTCCTTTTGGGGTTTCCTTCCTATCCTCATCTGGTTAACTTCTCACAACTCCTGCATTCCACAGTTTCAGTCAGCTACACTCAAAACCATGACCATCACAGAACCTCACAAGCACAGTCTTGAGTTGGCTGATCTAGCTGTGCTTGAGAAGATTGACAAACTCTTCGCTTGCAATGTAGGGGAATATGTCAGTCTCCCCCAGCTCGTTGTTGTTGGCGATCAGTGCAGCGGGAAGAGTTCGGTTCTGGAGGGCCTGACCAAATTGAACTTCCCTCGAGACAGTGGCCTGGGTACGAGTTTTACGACCCAAAATCATCTTCCGCCGTGACAGTGACTTGGTTGAGCGGGAGATATCTGCGTCGATAATCCCTGCATCTGATGCAACTTCAGAGGAGGACCAGAAATTGCGGAGCTGGAAAGCCTCTGCTCTTCAGTCACTGACTTCCGATGACTTCAGTCGTACGATAAAAGAGGTAGGATCCTAGTTTGAAATTGTGCTTTGGCATTTGACTCTGGCTCTGGCATATAAGGTCCCCGAAATTGTGAAACTTTCTTGATGGAGACCGCAGGTCAACATTTTCCAATTGTGTTGTTCTACAACTGGAGATTCGTGGCCCATGCGAGAGTCACCTCAGCGCCATCGACGTACCTGGAATTTTCAAGAACACAATGTTGGATCGAACAACGAAGAACGACATTGCGCTGGTTAGGAATATGATACTGAGGTACATGCAAAACCAACGATCTATCACGTTGGCTGTTGTTCCAGCAAACATGGACATTGCTACGCAGGAAATCATACAATGGCCAGCGAAATTGACCCGGAAGGAGGACGAACCTTGCGGATCCTCACTAAGCCATATCTAGTTGATATAGAAGCCGAGCACAACGTGATTCGACTCGTTCATGATGGGAAGATTGAATGGATAACTGGGCTGGATCCTCGTTCGAAATCTCGATCAAAAATAACTTCAAGCTGGTGATGTGGACCGAGATGCCGAAGAGAAGATATTCTATTAAAATGCACCATGTAATCGCGTTCTGCCCGAGAATGAAGGAATCTCGGCACCAATGGCTCGTCTGCGAGAACCTCTCACATCCAACGTGTAACCACGAGTTCCCATCGGTATGTATAGCTTTGTGTTGATGTGAATTAAATTGCTAAAGCTTTGCTATGAAGGTGCGATCCGAAGTGATCACAAGGCTCAAAGACTCAATGTATCTATTGCAATCCCTGGGAGCTCAGCGAGAAATAGCAGAGCAGCAGAGGATGATTCTGCTAGATGTCGTGTCGGCTTTTCAAGAAATCACACAACACGTGCTGGCCACCAATGGTGGAGCCAATGACATGTTTGATGAAGACAAGGATCTACGACTGGCAACACTGGTTTCACTGAGAAACGATGTGTTTTCACATAATTTTGCGTATTGCGGTCACGCATACACTTTCGGTCGAAACTGGACGAGACAGACGGCAGCGTCGATGATAGTGAAGAAAGGCACCATTGCAACCGATACCGAAGCCCCAAACACCATGCAGAGCCGAAAAGCTGAGATCCAACTCAGAATACATCGGTAGAGCACCTGGAGATTCTACATGTTTCTGAGCCCGTGGAACCCTCCATGAAATGGGTCATTCTTCCTTGGATTGAGGGCATTTACTCTAATTCTCGAGGCTTTGAATGTAGATCAGACGGAGAAAGGGGAGAGAATATGCAAGGATCTATACAGGAGTGGTTACTAAGCGATGGTGAGCCTGGAACGAACTGCTGCCAATGAGAATCTGAAGAATCGAGTAGGAATGCATGGTAGAGGGTTCAATTGAGCGAAGAAAGGTTAAAAGAGGAAGCAAGATCAAGGTCGAGAAGGGCAGCTGCCCCTTGCCATCAGAGACCTCCGGTCTGAGGCACCATGACTGGTTTCGACACATCATTCAACTTGGAAGGTCTCTTCGCCCCATCCATACAACGTCCTCAACCGCCTGGCCATATAAGGACTCGGTATCCTTCAATCTTCGATTGATGCGGTCGGTGCACCGTAAACAAATTTTTCACCGTCATGCTATCCGGGGGATAGAATGTGTACACGGACCCATGTTTGGGTGAGATTGAGAATTTTAATTTGGCCATCGCTTCGGCGAAAGCCGCCCAAGCCACTGGGCCACGCGATTCCGATTTGCAAAACAACCCCGAGAAGATCTCTGCTGTCTGCTCATCTGTTTTGAAGCTCCGCGGTAGCGAAGCTGGCTCCTGTGGACGAGACGGCTCCGCGGTGGTTATATAGACGAATGTGAGAGACGTGTCTTTTCTTTCTGTTTCCGCTGTTCGACTCGGATCACTGTCGACTCCGGAGTTGTTTTTGGCGCATAAGACAAGTCGGCCTTTAATCCCTGTGCCAGTTTGGCTTTGGCTTCATCGCATTGGGTCTGAACACCGAGTAGGCAGTCCGTGAGCATGTCTTGGTATAGGAATCCCATTTTTGTGCCAGACTTCTCGATGGTGAATTCGTCTAGCCTTTTGAGAGCTCCATGGGCCACCCCTGGCTCTAGAATATTATCGATGGGAACAACAAATCGAGCAAATCAAGTTGATCCTTGGCCTGGTTCAACTCAGACTCCACCTCCTGTAGTTTAGAGGCAAATTTCTGCCCCCTGCTGTTGTTGTTGTTGTTGTTGTTGTTGTTGTTGGAAAAAGAAGGAATGGGAATTACGGAAGATAAGTCCTGGATGAATCCAACAATTATAGCCAGGTCACCCAAAGAGTCGGCCTCTCTGTCCTCCAACCTTTCCCTCTCCCGAGGATGGGTTTCATGAAGCTCGCTCAGCTTTTTGATCCATATAGCGGCAGTGGAAACAGTGAGCTTTGACTGGCAGAGACGCGAAATGTAATGAATCTGGGGGTCAGATACGGTAAAGTCTTCCGGATTGCCTTTCATGGCAACGTGCGGATTACCGGCGCTGTCGTACGTGTTGGAAGTTCGCTTGAACCACTTAGATCCCGTCGCACTCTGAACATGACGCTTGAAAAGCGTTTGCGCACGAGTGAATTCCAGATGACATATGTTGGAGATGTCCTGAAGTAGAATAGGTCGACAGGCTCTATCCTCAGCCGACTTTTCAAGCAGCTCGAGGATACTAGCAATGTATTTCCAGATGGCGGCTCCTTGAATCGAAATGTGGATGACCTCAAAAACTGCAGCACTGATGTGTTTATCAATGGGCACCGGCAAGCGGCGTCCTTTTTCGTCAGGAACGAGCTCTGGGCGGCTGAAGAACCAAATGTTGACAGCGTGAGCAAGCACAACAGGCTCAGTGGATAGCAAAACCAGGTACTCCTCAAGTGTGTCTCGGTGATCGCGAGCACTAGCGACCAGGTCGGAAAGTGTAAGCTTGTTCCGGGGGGCCCGGAGACTTAGCTTTGACAGAACTATTGCCGCCCCGTCGTCAGAGGTCTTCTTTTTCTTTGCCGGGGCCTTTTGAACTCGAGTTTGCGAGCCTTGCTCGAGAATATCATCAATGAGAATATTGAGCGTTTGCAAGGTGTAGATCTGCCTTTGCATGATTAATTCTCCTACCGACTGAGGAACACATACGCGAGCACGGGTTGCGGCCTCAAAAACAGCTACGGCCTCTTTCGCCATGAGTTGGTATGACGTAGCATACATCTCGCCCTGAAACAGAGTGTAACAGATTTAAAAGGGATTGGTGTGCTTAAGTCCCCGTGTGCGCACTGACTCTTCGATTACGGCATGATCTCCGGGGCTACCATTGAATCCTGCACAGTGCTGTTCAAATAGAGATGTAGAGGTTCGATGTTTGAGAAGGGTTAAAAGGAAGTCTGGGTTGGATGTGAGGTCACGTAAATTTAACTCTGGTATGATTTTGTAGGTATCACCCAGAGCCCGATCCGCGGGGTCTTTCAACACAGCACCTGTAGCTCCGGCCTTGAAACATTTCGCTCATTCGTTTGCGCTAAATGACTGCCAACTGGTCTCGACTACTGCGGCATGCTTTCGATATTTCCGAGCAAGGGCGCTGTGGAGCTCTTTCAATAAAGATTGCTTTCTCATTGTCCATATTTAGAGTGTATTTTTAGTATGAGCACAACAACATTATGAGATCTTGCGGACTGCGAGGAGAGGGAAGAGATGAAATGTCGTCGGTCTAGGAGATTAGAGCACACTAAACTACATTAGCACTAGCGCGACGCGGACCGGAAGTTGTCTGCTTAGTAAGGTGGCAGTGAGACCAGTCGAAGTGAAAAGGTACAGAATCTGAAAGTCAAATGGGAGGTACTATTCAAAAGGTGAAGGGTCCTTCTATTTTTTTAAAAAAAGAAGGAATTGATGAGTTAGAAGTGTGTAAATACGTCTTAATCTTTGTATCAAACCCTTGACAGTATCTCACAGGAACCAGAATTACCTGCAACCAGTCGCTCTGTTGCTCAAACACTGATCCACAAGAGTCCCTTGCAATTCGACACCATACACCTCACAACTGACATAACTCGTACCACAAGCGTTAATGCAGTAGTTCGCAGCATTAGTGAGATTTTCGATCTGGAAAGTGGCATTCGCACTCCAGCTGATACAGCAACCATATTTGCAGATACTCCGAGGGCTGCCCGTCTTCCACGTAATATTGCCTCTGACATTCTCAAGGAGGCTTCGACAGGAGTTCTTGACAGCGAGGTTGGCAGATGAACAAGTTTCTCTGAGCCAGCGTTTGTGTTGGGGGTTTGTCTTTGATTTCAGACCTTGGAAGGCTTCAACCAAGAATTTGGAGCTGGAGGTACTGGCGTAAAGCTCGGCCAGGTCGACATCAACTTTGCCGCTATCTTGATCTGTGATAGCGTCCAAGAGTGACTCCTGCATCTCCACAGTCGAAACATTGAGATAATCACTGTAACCATTCATTGCGAAGGCACTGTATAAGTAGACGATGTCTCCCCACTGGCCTTTACTCGCGGCGTTCTGTGCAAGGCCAGCAAGGGTAGTGAGCATCTCGAGATTGTCCAAAGAATGGATTCCAAGGTCATTTTGGATGTGTGGAAGTTGATCCACAGCAAACCCAGTAACGTTGAGCCATACCGTTCCCTCGGAAGAGCTAGCGGTAGCCACGTTACCGTAGGCTAAAGCTGTGACGCTGTCTTCATAGCTGAGCTGCTGGCACTGCGCGGTCGTGGCTAGTGCAGCAATCGCCAAAGCAGAGATGGAACGTCCCTTAAACATGGTTCTGGGAGTGTACCGAACCGGATTGTAGAAGGAGAAAAACTAGGATGGGTAGGAGTGATGTTGCAATGAGAATTGTATGGCTGGTCAAGAACAGATTGTTCTCCTGTTCTCTTTCCGGTGCTCTATACGGGTGTATAAGGGGCCTTTTATATCTGGCCTTACTCCCTTGTCGTCCGTTTCTACCAGTCTCGATATGAGGTGACATGTAGATATAGACCTTTCCCAGCTGAGAGTATGCTGATTCGCTGTCGTGGACCGTTTTCTCCATAGGAGACGTTACTGTCATTCGAAGCTGTCAGACCTGAAAGACACCGGCATTTAAAGGCGTTTTTAGTGCCGGAAGTCTACTTTTTTCCCCAGCTAGCGTGACTTGGCGCAACTCGAGCCTCCCCGACAACCCAGAAAATGCATCCTTGGTTTTATGTCCGCTGTCCTGCTCAATCCTTGGAATCTGCATCATCTGAGTACGTTCCGCAGTATCGACAGTGTGTGTTTTGTAAGAATGAAGATTGGCATGTGGGGTGGTGGAGTGATCGCGATCAAATTTCCACCGTGAGAGTCGGATAGAGCCATTCTCAAAATGGAAGTCTCCCGTAAACCGGAGGACCCCTGCTTAGCTCAACCCTGAAACGATTTGAACACGCATACAGCGAAGCAGGTACAAGCCACTTTATTAGGCAGCAGCGTTCTCATGCCCGAAGAGTGCAGTGCATACAACATAGCTGCTTCCATGTTTTTCTTGGCAGGGCATCTTTTGATTAACGGCTGCCATCATTGGGCAGCGTAAACAACTCCGAAGCTTATCCGGTGACAATTGGGGCGGATTTCACGTTATACTGACCTAAATAAAAAGCTGACATGGATAGTTGAATTGAGCGACAGATTAGACTCGTCCCCGGACCCTCAAAGGAAAGAGCATATGTTCTGTAGGATTCTTTTGAAAGAGAGAAGGGGTTTCTGATAGGATGGAATGTAAACAGTGCAAACAGAATTCTGTAGACTACATCGCGCCCAGGTTACTTTGACTTCAACAAAAGACGTTGAAAAGTGGGATTGTAACGAAAATTCTGCTATTTTATAACACTGGACCTTAATGTCTGTGAAACATGAGATGTTTCAAGGCCGTGTCCAGAAATTCCCTATCTTCCCTTGGCCCCCAATGACTGAAACATAGGCTTAAACCAAAGATTTCAGCCCTTCTCCACCTTTCGCCCATTACTTCGCTTGAAGTTTCTTAGCATCAGAGCTCTTGGAAATTGAATGCTCGCCAGCTAATATCCTGAATTGCCCCACTGCCCCCAGTTTCTTCACTACGGAGTTCTTTGTCCAGTGAATCTCACCCCCGGCAAAGTCGTTCTCTTCGATCAGAATTCGAAATGCTTTCTCCTTTGACTCAGATCGTATTTGCGAGGTTACCATCACGGGTTCTGAATATTCTGATTAGCCCAGGAGGAGATGGAAATTTACTAAGCCAACTCAATAATATTTCTCTTTCCACGACCACACACAAAGAGTTTACAATTTCTTCCTTCACTCTGATTTCTAGCCACCTTTTGATTTCCAGCTTGGTATGTTTCTACCCTGGATTGAATCAACGTTGAACTATCCTAAGAATGCCTCAATAAGGTTCGTTATCTTGTTGGCCATGTGATAGCGACATCGTTGGCCCTTGAGATTGCCCGAACAGATTGGGCTCTCTTGGATCAAGAAAGGGGGCACAACAAACGGCCTCTGACCTTCCGATCCATCAAAAAGGCCACACGTCTCATTTTTGCTACACAGAGCCTTTCAACCTTCTCTCGTGCGCTTGTGATAGGTTCTGTCTACCAGGTTACTCATTATGCGCTCAGAACTTGCTTGGAAATTGCAATTTTCAGACACGAATGGTTGACACCGTTTGCATACGCCTGTTCCTCTGTTATATTATACAAGTTTCATTTGATCTGGACCTGTGCTACTATTTCAGCACATCGATATCAACTCCTTGATTTTACAGAAGATGCAAATCTAAGAAACTGGACGCACTTAGCAGTCCCAAGTTTCCTGTATGGGATATGCCAAGCCTTGATGTACGAGGCCCAGAGTCTAATCCAAGGACCACGGATTTCTCCCCAAGAGGAAATGCCAATCTCCACAAATAGGCGTGCCAGCGCCGAGATTCTTGCAGTGATCATCATGCTTGCATTCCGTTTATTTGGACTACTCCCAGCGTCCATTGCTCTCATATTGACCGAAGCAAGCCTTTTACCAGGAAAATTGGAAACAATCATTCCTTCTCCGACAAAGAAACGTGGATCATCAATTGCGGAACTGCGCGGAGGAGGCAAAACCTCTCCAGGACTTACTGCATTTAGCATGGCATTGAAGACTTTTGGTATACATCAGCTTTTGTGGCTGATAGAACTTCATCTGAAGAAGTGTTTTGTCCAAATAGCAATCGAGTTGCTCGCTCTGCCAATCATCATCCTTGGCATTCTTTAATCTGGACAATGAAAATTTTCTTTTTTTACGTTTCAACTTGTTCCTAGAGCTACAGAGTCATGCAAAGACGATCCGGGTCTATGGAAATCCTGCTATGTACCTACAACGTGTGCTATAACGCCAAGCTTTCCTACATTGAATTATGCATAAAAATAGCTGGCCACTTGCATAGCCTTGTGGTGTCTTTGAACATATGTGAAGGCAGGAAAAAAGTACAATCTGTGCAGGAGACTTTCCTATGTATCATGTTTGATTTTCGCTAAGAATGTAATGTTTTTCTTGATCTTGTACAGTTCAAAAGTCCTGTCTTAACTTTCCAAAGTGGGCGCTCGTCCGGATTGCTGCTGCGAGACATCCAGTCAATTGTAAATATCTGAATGTCCACGGTTCTTCCCGCCCATCTGGCCCCACTGTTTTGAAATTGTATTAGAATCCTCATCCGAGGTATCTGGGTTGACAGTCACGGGAAGGGGGAAAACCTCCGTGCTCATCAACTCAGGCGAATCTTCAGGAGTAGGAGACGCTACAGGGAATGGTGGGGTAATCATACCATAGGAGCCGTCAGAACTCCAGGACTGCGGGCTTTCTATCTGCAGGGGAGGCTTATCAAATGGCTTAGTGCGTTCTGGGTGGAAGAGGTTAGTAACCGCACCGGCGAGCCTCTCAATCTCAGCTGGAGTGGGGGGTTGATATTCCGGTTCCTTGGGCTTGCATACAGCTTTGGCGTTGAAGACAGTGCTAGCGCTAGTACTGTCTATTCTTGTAGTGAGTTTACTCTGTATTAGTTTTTGAACAGGGCCAGGGACAGGAGTCTCACGCTGCGATACTCGACCATCGTGATAGTGGCGAATCGAACGACGCTCGCCACCAACCGAGCGCTCAGTGGTAAAATGGTTGTTGGATGTTCCGCTGGAGGCCTTTCCTGATCGGGTTGATCGCTTGCGTTCGGGCATGACGGCGTTTGATAAGACCTGGGCCTGGGGTCAAAATGGGTGGTTTATGTATGCCACAAGGACTGTCTAAATGAGTGAACAAATGGATTTTCCTAGAAAGAAATAAAAACCGGCCCCTTAGTCTAGACCAACAGCTAAGGTCTTTGAATGGGTGGAGATGAAAGTCTTTATCCTTTTGTTTGTTCCAGTGCCTTTCTTTCCATTCTTTGAACTTGGCTTCTCGCTTAGGATCTTGATATATGAATGCAACAGTAGAGCCATGGATCTCTCCCCCCCCCCCCCCTTCGCATCTTAAAATAAACTGCGAGATAATTGAAAGGCCTCGTTCCTAATAAAAGTCACAGAGCGTCCAGGCCTTTCGTCTCACTGCTTGAGCGCCTAACTACATCCACCACCGCAACTTGGGCAAAACCTGGCGAAGCCTCAACATTTTCTAGTGTTTAGCTACTTTCAAGGCTTAGAATTAATTCTGCGGAGCCAAATGATGTCTTCCACCCGAACCGTATTTCTCCGCAACGGCCTGCCTATCATCGATGTGTATGGCCTCTTCCGAGGCACGATGTGGTTAACAGTGAGATTTTCGAACAAGGACCGCCACTGTTCGGACAATGAGTTGATGAATCTTATAATTCAACGTCTTCAAATTGGAGAGTTCACAGTCGACTCCGTGCCTACGCACCAGGGGAGGGGATTTTGCGTATCATTTCCGGTCTCCATTTATGGCGCTAGTCGTAGCGAGTGTCTTGGCGTTGTTATCAGGCTTGCAGAATGCTACTGGGAGGACATCCTTTCTGGGGATATTTCTATAGACCGGGACTTTCTTTTCAGAACTAGAGCTTTCATCGGATAAAGGGATTCTGGGCAAGAAATACTACGATTCAAACTTCATTCTTGGGATTAGCAAGCCCCCATAGCCACCAAAATACGACCCCAAAAGAGCGGGAAAAGGGCGGAATAAGGGCAGCGGGGCTTGGAAACCAATGCAGGATGCGTGGAAACGGCGTGGGTGAAAAGAATGACGGGAAAGGGACAAAAACTAGCGTAGAAAGTGAGCTCTATACTAAAAAGGGGGTAGGAAAGATATCAAGTTTGGTTTGGATGCTACTATGTTACCAAAAGTCTGCCTCTCAGCATAGCAGAAGTTGTCGAACTTGCTATGAAGTGACTGCATGGTGGGCATGAGATGACACGGCTTCCTGTGTTTTTCACCACAGCTAACAACACTGTTGAATTCTTCCCATGCGGCTCTAAATTTGACTCAAGCAGACTGAAACTAAAGATGTGATCACCGGAAGTTTATCTACACATTAAATGCTCTACTCGGTATCCAAATCTACCTAAAAGGACTAGGTGGGAATAGTGTGGTTTGATGAAAAAGAATAAAAAATATGAAACTGTATGTTAGCGGCCATGTTCAAAGTTGTAGACGGGTGTGTATATATCTGTAAAAGGAGAAGACAGTGTTGGAGACGAGTTTGACCCAACCGCAAAGATCATCTTTGTACATGCAAATGCTCAATGTATCTTACAATTTACTGAGAGCCAACAAGCCTTGCAGTGTCTCGGAGAGTAACATGGAACTCTCTTATCTGATCTGCAGGCGTCTCAGTAATATATCGCCAGAGAGTCCAGATATCCTGACCATCAGAGACCCTGTCTGGGCCCTCTTGCTCAATCTCAAACTCCCTAGTCACTTGGTCAACTCGGGATCCGAAGAATTGAACCAGCGCAAGATCAACAGGTGCAGGAGGGATCTCGGAAGAAAATTGAGTATAGCCAAATGTCTTCACCTGTGTCTGGACTTTCTCCCACTGCGGTCGCCATTTTTCGAATGTCGCAGACCATTTCCGATCGGTGCCTGCATCAGCAAGTGTAGCGCACATGGTCCAGAGAAAATGAGAGGCGTCAATCCAGCCATCAGACTTACCCGATGCAACTAGGAACTTGTCTTCTTCACGGCGGACGGTGAAACGAAATAAGCGACGGGCTTCGTGTTTTGATCCTAGTACAATTGACAACGGCGCAAAGTCAAAAGCATTCAATGTGCGCTCTGAACCAGAGTCCTCGTCGTCTGCATCCCATCTTTCGTCGGTGGCCGAAGGGATATCCAGCTCCTGGTATCCAGATAGGTTCGGCATAATTGACTTTTATAGTCGCTTAAATGGATTGGATTGAGAAATTGAGATACACTAGTTTTATGTCTTGGTCTGCAGTCAGGTGTAGTGTGGGACCAGGTTTATATAGTTGAAGGCCGCGATTATGCTGTCTTGTTTGAGAATAAAGACCTTCTTTATCCTCTTTTGGCCTTTGTTATTTATTAAAAGACAGCCTCGAGGGGCTAGAATACAATGTACTTTTACAAATTGGGGGTTCCATTTTTCAATGCCAGTGAATCGATTTGTTTTCAAAATCGAATTAAAGGGACACAAAGAAGAATCTTTTCACAAGCCCGGATTGCGAGTGGCAATGATGGAAGATGGTGAATCAAGCATCCAGAAGTCTTTCGACTGGTAGCAACGGTAGCGTGACGAATCGGTTTCGCACCACACTATCTTTTCTCACTAAACAACATCCTCACCCTCATCAGATTGCTTTCCAAATCTCCCACTGACACGGTCTCGCTCCTTCCGTCGATTCTCCAGATAAAATCGGCCACCTTCATAGAGGCTGAGATAAAGGCCCAACGCAATAGTCGTCCAACCAGCCCGTATCAGTCCACCCTTGAACAAACCATGGATTCCTTCATAATGTATGATATGGCGACCGACAGAAAAAAGAGATTTGTTAGGGTTGATCTTTGTTCGCGCTTCCGAAAATACCGCTCCCCTACCACGAGTCCCAGCTTGAATACTTTGATCTTGGGAGCTAGCGCTCACGTCACCTGCCGAAAGCATTACGCGTGTCTTGATAACATCGATTGGGGTAGTCACAGTCGCCGCGACCGTCCCCGAAAATGCCGCAGCTATACCGGTCAAGCCAGCCCGTTCGACTAGTTGATCTGAATGTTCCGATAGCGGTCGGTCGGTGTTATTGCGGGCCGCTTTCCGTTGTCTCCATCGATCAATCAGGTGCGCTCGCACATACTCAAAGAGCGGAAATTGTAGAGCGGTAGTTGGGAGGTTTCGACCAACCAGTGCTGTATACCCATTCCATAGGCGCCAAGGATGACGTCGAAATCGCGAAAGTACTATCCACATAGCGGCTTTATTTTCTTGGGAACTATGAATCATCTGCGTGTTTTGTTTCAGCACCTCTGCCGGTGTGAGCATGAGGCATGAGGCAATTTCGCCGGATGAAGAGGCAATTCCATGCATAACTGGGGCAGGGAGGGAGTGTGTGAATGGCAAGCAAAGACTGTTCAAAGAACCATCGGGAATGGTCCGATTTCCGCTTGTCATCCCCGTGGGAGCTCCGGTTGAGGAGTTGTACATAATGCTCTTCACAGCTTCGTAAGTGGTGAAGAATGCACCAGCTAGATGGGGTACATAGGATCGTCAGCTGTGATGTTCCGTACTTTTAGTCATCAGTGAAAGCCAATACGTACAGGCTGGAATCGTTGAGAAAACTACGCTCCAGATGCCTTGGTACAATCCTCGGAAGAGTACATTACGCCGCACTATTCCTGTGCGTGCATCTTTGAAGACCTTCTCATAGTCTGGGGATTGGACGCGAGTCTTAAGAGTGTCGAAAGGATAGACAATAAAATCAACTACCACAGCAGCAAATGCACCTGCCTGTTAAGAATTAATTTCCAGTTAGCGATTTAAGAAACAGGGCTGCCCATGTGGAGATGGGTGATCTGGTGCAACTCACAACCCAGACATCGGAATGAGTGTTGTACATGGAAAAAATGTAGAAAACGAGTCCTCAGATTTCTGTGATATACACATTGTAAATACTTCAATTTAGAAAGGCGAGGATGTCAATGAACAAATGCACCTAAAGATTCACTTGCTGGGCGATGCCGATATGATGAACGATGATGTCACACAATTTATAGTCACGTGCTGCCGGTGGAGCGTGATGGGACTTGCATGTGAAAAAAGCCCTGTGACAGCAACACTCACCACCTGAACACAGTTAGAATTATCGAGTAGTTTGGCTCGAGGATTTTGACATTTCTATTTTTGACCCCTAATCATGAAATTACCTCGAAGTACGATCATATCGCGACACAGGGATCCCCCCTGTTCCTCTACAGCCAGCCCTTGGGTCCACCCCAGTTACCCTTGATCATGTGGTTGAAGTATACCCAAGGGAAGAAGTCCTTCTTCAGGTACCAGAATGAGCGACGGGGTACAGCCTGGTCAATACCAAGCCAGTCTCCAAATGTCTCCTTGGGAACTCCGCCGTACTTGAACTCAGCAAGGAGGACCTTGCCGTACTCGGTCAGGAGCGGGCACGAGGTGTATCCGTCATAAGAAGCATCTAGTTCCTTGCCCTCCATACTCTGCAAAAGGTTGCGAACGAGAACCGGGGCCTCGGAAGTGACCGCTGCAGCGGTCTTAGATGTTGGCAAGCTGGAAGCATCACCAGCAGACCAGACATTGGGGAATTTCTTGTGTTGAGTGGTGTTCTCGTCCACATCGACGAATCCGGCCTCGTTGGCCAGAGCGCTGTTCTTGACAAAACCATAAGCTCCCATCTTGGGGGTGACGTGCAGCAGGTCAAAGGGTCTGACGACCTCTCCCTCGGGAGTGGCAAAAATGGCAGACTTGCCGTCGATGGCAAGGAGATCGTGCTGGAACAAGCCCTCAACACCGCGATCCTTGCGCATCTGCTCGAGGACGGCGCTGTATTTGGGCACACCGAACATCACTGGAAGACCGGTCGCAAAGCTAATCTTGACAGGCGAGTTCGAGGGGTTGGTAGGGTTGTAGAGGCCAGCTCGTTTCCAGTGGTCCAACGCAAGCCACATAATCTTCTGTGGGGCGCCCGCACACTTGAGCACACCGGCTGGCTGAGTGAAAATAGCATTGCCTCCACGGAAGCTTTCTATGGTGCGGAAAGCCTTGTCACAAGTGTCGTAGCTAAAGATCGTTGAAACTGTTGAGTTCCGGTCTGCAAGAGCCTCAGGGAGGCCTTTGATGTTGCCATAGTTGATGCTGATACCGGGCACCACAACCAGATGCTCGTAGTTGATCTTGTCGCCATTTTCAAGGGTGAGCGCATTTTCAGCGGGGTTAAAGGCGCCGACACTCTCATTGTAAAACTTGAACTTGGGATCAATCAAGCTGTTCAATGGCTTGCGCAGCTCCGTTTTGTCCTTGAGGCCACCGCCAACCAGTGTCCAGCCTGGTTGGTAATTGTGCCAGGTAGCTGGATCAATCACAGCAATGTCATCTTGCGCAAATTTGCCGGAGTGCAAGAGCTGGTGGCTGATGCTAAGACCAGCAGCACCACCGCCAACCACTACAATCTTGTGGCTTCGTGCGGAGCTCACGGGAGACGCAGTTGCAAGACTTCTCCATTGAGCGACGGAGCGCTTGGCAGCGACTACTGTGCGACGCTGAAACATCTTCGAAGACAAATGTCAGAAACGACTAATGACAAAAGAGCGCTGAAGTACCTTCAGGGCTTGAACTTACGATGTCGTGATTTCGGATTAACTCGTTCCGATATCGGGGAGTCTCGGCTTTTCTTCGAAAACTTTCGAGTTTCAACTCAGCTAGAAGGACTGAAAGCACATGTATAGATTGTAGTTGGATATTTTCTGCTTTACTTCACGTACGCTTTCACTTTGCTTCTAAGCATCTCTCAATTCGGGAACTAATCGCCGTGGTGCATGAGGCGTTATGCATGACTTGATTTTGATGTATGACATCTCATGCACCTCAACACAAGGGGCTAAAGACTTGCAATAGTCTCTAAAACAAATTGTACTTCGTATCTCTCAAACATCACACGTTTCTGAATTTTACAGTTTGTGGCATGAAAGTCCGTCCATATCCACTAGACGGGGTCGTATTGACTCTTTTCAATCGGCGATCTTGATGCTCGCCGAGTCGCCGACCCAAGCCTTTCAAGTATGTCTGCGATAGCTCTTACATCTCTCACTAATTGTCATTCTTCAATTCCTGGATATCATGTTCAGCATTCGGCAGCAATCATCATGCGCCGGCTGGCAATTCTCGTCTGATCTTTTGAGATTGTCTAGCAGGCCCATTCGAACTTCAATGCTGGTCGACTTTGGACAATTGCGTCATATCCAACATGCGCGAACAGGTGTTCCTCACACGCCAAAATCGTCACGAAATGGCGCGTCAATTAAGGGGCAAGGTTGGCAAGCACAGAAGGAACATCTGGCTCATGGATGGAATCAGCCATTCTCGCAAAATTCATGTTCCATCCCTATCAACCCCACAATCTCACATCGAGTTACCTACAACACTGCATCCACTATCTCTACTGAGCCTGTGATTCACGATGTGTTCGAACCCGCATCTGGAACATGGCAATATCTCATCGCCGATCCGTCGACATCAACAGCTGTGATAATCGACCCAGTCTTGAACTATGATCCTGCCACTCAGGCCGTGACCACTGAGGCAGCCGACTCCTTACTCTCTCTTATCATGGGAGAGGGCTATAAGATCGACAAGATTCTTGAAACGCACGCTCATGCAGATCATTTGTCTGCGGCATCTTATCTTCAGAAACAAATTGCCCAGTGTCAAGACCCAAGGCCGCCCATCTGCATCGGCAAGCGAATTGAACAAGTGCAAAAGTTGTTCGCCGAGAGATATGGTGTCCCACAAGAGGAATATAAAGCCGTCTTTGACAAGCTTTTCGACGATGATGAGACTTTTACTATTGGTAACCTCAAAGGAATGGCTATGCATCTACCTGGACACACCCCGGATCACCTTGGTTACATGATAGGAGGTAAGGATCTACCAACAAGAACAACCTGGCTAAACACTTTACTAACAAGTCTGTTCCAGCTAATCTTTTCTGCGGTGATTCTCTCTTCCATGTGGACATCGGCACTGCACGCTGTGACTTCCCCGGTGGTGATGCGAATGACCTCTTTCGATCGGGCCGCAAGCTTCTGAGCCTCCCCGACCACTTCAAAATCTGGACAGGTCATGATTATCCGCCGGAGGGACGTGATCCTGTGGCTTGGGTGAGCGTCCAGGATCACAAGAAGCTGAATAAACACCTGAAAGATGGCATCGGCGAGGAAGAGTTTGTGGCTTTGCGAAAGGAACGTGATGCCGGATTGGAGGCACCTAAGCTGCTTCACCAATCTTTGCAAGTCAACATCCGAGCAGGACACCTTCCTTTGCCCTCGAAATTTGGTCATCGGTTGCTTCATCTTCCAATGAAGCTTACCGGGGAAGCGTGGTAGTCGAGATATCCGATCATGCAATTACGAAAAGGAACGGAGTACACAATAATTGACTTGTGACTAGTAGGTTTCAAAAAAAAATAAATAAATAAGAAAACACTCAACCGACCACAAGCACTTCTATTGTTCAACATGTATTTCTGCATTACCTGCACACTCAAACTCAAGCGAAATCAAATCAAGCAACATCTCAGTATTCTTCCGAGTTTCGATGTGTCCTTGCATTGCGCATCTCTTCGATGAACCCCCGCAGGCTGCGCAGAGTATGATTCCCGATGAGAATGATGAACTCCATATTCTTCTTAAGTTACCAAAGCCATTGTCCTTGCTTTGTATACTTATTTCCCTCCTTTTTAGATTTGAAATGGCATTTGTGTTTGGATTGCTCCGATCAAAGAGACCCGATATAAACAAAGAAAATTGGAGACTTTGTTCTCATCTTCCAAGCCGTGCTTCATCGAGTATTCAAAGTCAAGAACTCGAACTGTACTTATAGCTTCAATCCCCCCTTGATGTATTCTCACCAAGCAACAGGTTATTCAGTACAGTCCTCACCGATTTCACAAAATTCACCAACTAAAAACCAACCTTCCATCACTCCCATCACACCTTCACCATGGCCATTCTGGCCCGCGACAGTGTTTACTGGAGGGAGCGCACCTACTACCTTGATCTTCTACAGACCCAGGTCGTGCAGCTCCGCTCCGTCCCTGATTGTCGTCTCCACGTGGTTGATCGGCTTAGAGAACTTGCTCAGATGACACCTGGCTACATAGAGGCTTCGCTTCTCGTCGGTGACACTATCTTCCATCGGATCTGCTGCGCTCTTCAACCTCTGCTCCCCACCGCGATTGCCACCGTGTCGAGAGACTTTGATCCCGTCAGTGGATATAGAGTCGCGGATGTGCTTGAGGGTACAGTTCTCCTGGAGATTCGAGACCCCTTCAACCATCCAGCCATATGGTAGTTGTTGAGTGCATGCAGGTGCATTCACAGGCATCCGGTTTCTTAGATATTCAATTTCGTAGATCAATCTCACCTCACTTTTGTCTTAGTTCATTTTGTTCCATCCGTAGATTCAACCAGAAGATTATGCCATTGTTTAAAGACCGCACTTGAGAATTTGACCTGTTCAATGTGTTTGTTATATTCTAAACAAAATAAAGATTCCCTTCTATGATCGAATTCAAGTCGATACAACGCAGGAGTCTAATGCCCAGAGACTCAGCTCCGCTCATAGAAGAAACAAGAAACAGGAAGTCATATTAACATCCAAAATAGAGAACATTTTCCCTCCCTACGCCGTAAAAAGGTCATGCAATACCAAAAGCGTCGTGTCTCCCCTTCGAAATCATCAACGTTTAGTTCGAGGTCTCGTTGGGCAGCAGGTTGCCCTTGATAGCAAACATCTTGCCCGTGCTGGACGAGACGAAGCTGTCGACCTGGCGCGCGTACTGGTCCACTTGGCGGGTGTTGAGCATGCTCTCCAGACGGCTGGGTTCGGCGGGGAGCTTGAACAGACGCTGCCACTCGTCCTCGGGGAGGAGGGGCTGGTTGAGAGTGGCACGGCTGGCGTTCTCTTGTGCGCGCTTCGCCTTCCAGGCATTGATCTTCTGCTGCTCGCGGCCGAGCACACGCTGGTAGTATTGGTAGTTGTTGACCTCAGTGTTGTGAGTCTCGATGCTATCCAGAAGGAGATCGCAGTTCTTCTCCAGGAAGGGATCGATGCTGAGGGACAGGTTGTCGAGGTTGGGGGTGAGGGTGGAGTTTTTGCTGAAGGGACTGGACTCGAGTGCAGCCAGGGAGGAGGGGATCTCAGTAGATGCTGAGGAAGTCGGGCACTGCAGCTGGTGGATGAAAGAAGTGATCAGGTGAGAGTTGTGGAGCTTGACGGGCAGTTCCTCGAAGATTTCGGGGTGGCGCAAGTTGGACTTTTGGAGGCTGTGACTGATGTCAGTATTGATGTCGCTCATGCATTTTTTTTTAAGTTTCTTCATTGCTCGGGCCATTGTACGTACTCCTCGGAAGTGAACTTGTTCTCCTTGAACGCAGTCATGAACTTAGAGGACAGGCGGAAGGCACGGAGGCTGAGGCTGCCCTGGGCACTGCGGCTGACATCATGAACGAGGGCGACCGTACGCTCATTCAACTGGCTCTGGTAGTAAAACTGGTTCTCGATCACGTTCATGTTGACAAAGTTGCCCATGTTGGCGCTGGTGTACCATCCGACACTGTTGGCATCAGTATTGACCTCGCGCAACATGCGGACCATCTCTGCAGAGTAGGCGGCATTTGCCTTGGCACGAGGAGCGGCAGCAGCCGGGTTGGGAGCGGCGTTTTCAAAGTGCGACTCGGCGGGGACTTCGACGACGGGGAATGGGAATGTGTTGGTAATCTCAAGGGTGCCATCGACATCCATACCAACGATAGCGCCGGTCGCAGTGGAAGGGAAGGCCTGGGAGCAGTGCTTGATGATTTTCATCACCACCTGGAACGTCCGACGTCAGTATTTCTGGCTGGCGAGGACTGGGGCAGATTTTCGTCGGGGAGATCATACCAAGGCCTCGACCTGAACGGCCGCGAGGGGAGCTGAAATTCTGCAAGCCGGTCAGTATTATATTCTCACCGACCAAAAACGGCCATCACTTACTCGGCCATTGTGAAGATTGCAACAGTTGGGCGGTTGTTAAGGTCGAGACGGTGGACTTGGAGGGTTTGTGTGAAAGGGACCATTGATTCCTGATCGGGTTTAGCGTGTGATGAATACACAGCGAAATTGATTACAGTCCTCCACTGCGTGGAAGGAGGGGCAATACTGTCATATTACGCCCTAATGGACTCGTCGGGGAATTCTCCTTCGACCAGAGATGCCTCGTGCTATGGTTTAGTGCACAAACTATACCGGAGACAAGAAGAAAAACGATCAAAATGACCAGAAGACATCAGGACACTAGAAGAGGTAAAGCCAAAGTGTATCTATAAGATGTCAGATTGCAAAATGCCATCTAACAGCCTCTGCACGACGCTTCTCCTAACCTGCCCGTAATCTATTGAATTGTCCCACTTCCCCATATATCAATACTACTCCGCAAGGTACCATGTCGGATCACTCAAGTGCGCAGACTTTATCCTATGGCTCAGTTCATAATCTGCAAAGCATCGCCGTTACAACTTTAGCTCCGTGCAACGATGGCTACTGGGTGATGTACACAAGGCCCCGGCATTCCCTATCTCCTAAAGCAATCACTAACGTCGGCTTAGTTACATCCATGGTGGTGCTTGGCGTGATCCAGCAGTTACCTCGACATCCTTCAATGCCACTGAATCCTTGCTTCGCGAGAAAAACCTACCTATTGCCGGATTTGCGTCGATCTCATACCGTCTCAGCGCGCACCCAAATTACCCACAAGACCCATTAAACACCGACCCGAAGGACTTCCAAGATGCGAAACACCCTGATCACATCACTGACGTAGAGGCAGCACTCGTGCTCCTCCAGAATACATACGGGTTCGGCTCGCGATACATCCTGGTTGGCCATAGCTGCGGCGCAACGCTCGCCTTCCAAGCTGTGATGGGCGCAGTCTCAGGTCATCGTGAACAGGCGCTCGCCAGTCCCCAGTCACTTACATTGACAGCGCAACCCACTGCCATTGTCGGTGTCGCGGGTATTTACGATCTGCGACAGCTGCGGGATACGTATGCTGACGTATCGGCTTACCAAGAGTTTACCGAGGGTGCTTTTGGAGCGAATGAGACGCTTTGGGATGAAGTATCGCCGGCTCAGGTTATTGGCTCTCGTGGAGTGGAAGGCGGGTGGAAGTCTGGAAGATTGGCTATCCTAGCGCATTCTCAGGACGATGGATTGGTGGATGCGTCCCAGGTAGAGGTAATGAAGGAGGCTTTGAAGAACTGGGAAAAGAAAGGGGCACATGTATCCATGCAAGAGAGTTCGAACTGTGATAGACGGCTCCGCTTCTTGCCGATCAACGGTGTTCATAACGAGGCATGGGAGAAGGGTGAGCAAATGGCTCGCGCGGTGACGTTTGCATTCGAACAATTGCAAGAAATGGGGCTCGCCGCATAGTCCTGGTGTCGAGAAGAACAGTTGTTGAGCATCCAAAGCGACTGACTGCCAATCTAGTACCCGGAATAATATACGCGTTCGTTTTTTGTAGTGAATTTTATAAGTTTTAGGATCCCGGCCTTACAGACCTAGCAACCCTCTCCATTACAAGAAAATCGATGAAAGTTATGTGGTTTCAATTGAGTCCTGATTTCCCTAGAAATGGCCTAGGAATGGACTAGACTGGTAATTTAGGTACAAGCGAAGTCGGAGAAAGGAAAAAAAAAACGCAAAGAGACCATGCGACCCTGTCAACGCCGTTGTTCCTGAAAACATCTTAAGAAAAGCACAAGCATACCGCAGATCCCTCGTTGCGCCGAAACTTTGCCCATGAAAGACTGGTAATGAAATCCATGTCTGTCAAGATTACTTGGCAGTGGTCATGCGAGCGGAAGTTGTGTCGGCGAGGAGCTTATTATTTTTGGCTGGCCCCGGGTGAGTTTCGGCATAATCCTCGTCATACTCAAACGCGTCGTCATCACTTTCACTGTCCTCGATGAATCGGTGGTTGATGTCGACCTCGGCGAGACGCCACTTCAGATCCTCACGTTGGTTGTCCTGGTAACGAGCAAGTGCAGCTGCGGCGTGCACTTTGAAACCGAAGATTCGGGGTTCATAGCGACGACAGCTCTTCTCGGGGTTGAGAGCGGGATACACCTGGAAAAGGATAGAATGGAATGAGGTACCGAAGTAAGCACCATCGATAGACGAGTGACGGGACGATTTGGGATTGTAGATGTCCTCGCACTTGGGACAGTACAGCTTGACGGTGCTGATGTTCGGAAGATCAGACTCGCCCACGGGAAGCAACGCATGCCCATCGCACATCACACGCGGGCACTTTCCGAAGTCGCTCTTCTTGTATTTTTCGAGCTGCAGGGAGTTTAGTACTTTTGTTTTCGTGAAAAACTTGCACACAAGGTTAGCGTTTCAACGTACCATCTTGGCAAGACCACGAGTGGTAACGATGTACCGGGCATGAACCAAGCCATAGAGGTGACGGGCAGACTTTTCGATTTGCTCACGCAGATCGTCGTCCGCATCAAGATCGAAAACGTCGGTCACAAGATCAAGGGCGTATTGGTAGTACGAAACCTCGGTGTTCAAACCGGTAAGGTTAAACCGGTCAGTCAGGTAGTCTTCGTCGATTTCGCAGAAGTATTCGTTGCCGCGGGATGAAACAAACTGCAAACACATGATTGCGATTAGCACGATCATGATCAAAAGTACATGACTGTTTCGACCAGAACTGGCAAAGTGGGCAGAATCAGAATAACGCGAGGACGTCCAAGACTCCCTACGTCCAGGGCCAGAACGTGGAGGTTGGGAAGAATGACCATGGGGTTGCCGTCCGCGTTCCCCGGCGCTGGAATCTGGATCAGGAGGCCCATTGCGGTCATTGGACCAACTTGGGTCAATTCTGGAGGGATCCAGCTCTAGCTGGACGTAAGTGGAGAGCAACCGGAGGAAGTAGTAGATGCAAGTAACCCCGAGGAGGATGGATACGAAGCAACTGGGCATATCACCATCATGCCCGTACTGAGCGGCGCTATAAAAGAATGCAACCGCCCCCGCGAACGAGAAGACCAGCGAGGCGTAGATAAGCCTGCGAAACACCAGAAGGTCCAACCTAGGATCCACCTCAGGGTCCATGATGGGATAGAGAATTAAGTAAAGCGAAAGTAAGAGCCAGAAATGGTGAATGTGAGAGAATGGAGAAGAGGTTTGAAATAAGTAGAGCATGCGGGCCAGGTATTTATGTTGTGAAAGGCACCGCAAGTCTGCCTTGTGTCTCGTGTCTCGTGTCGGAATCCGGATCGCCGGGACAGCAATCGCATCGTCAGGCGCCGAGACCAATCGTTGCGGCAATAGACTTGAGTCCGGAGCTCGAGATAAATTCGGGTCGGGTGCGCGATAGCCCCTCTATTCCCCAAACCCAATATGGCCCTGTCTCCATGACGCCTGGCTTGAGAGGGAAACCAAATCATGAAAAAAGAAATCCACTCACCCAGTCTCGCCAATAGCTGGTGTAGTCACTATCGGTTTCACTATTAAAGTCCTCCATTATGGGGTAATGCGCACTCTTGCTCTTAGTCTCCCAAGGGTGTTGGTATCAAAGCCAGGTGGGTGATCAAGCCCAGGGCGCTGAAGGACCCTAACCGCACAGCTGGAGAGTGTAGCTGGTTTTTGTACTCAACAATAAGCTTAAGAACAAGAAGAAGCTTTCTTAACGGATTGGCGTAGAATATGAAGATGAAGTTGGAAGTGGGTAGTGGGCAACACATCCCGCAATCCTACTAGGCGGTCAGCAAACTGCGCGATATTCAGACCGCCCTTCGGCAATTTCATTTATCCGTGCACGGGTAAGCGTGGTCTGTGCGGCTCAGAATGCGGAGTCAATCAGATGCAATACCATGCATATATGCCTTCACCTTGCGGAGTAGTTAGGTTAGTATACATCCCGATCTGCCAATTTCACACCAATTCTTACACAAGTGAAAACCAAGTCTAACTCTCCGCAAGCCCTCTTCATTGTCATCACTGATTGGATGGTTGTCAAGCATAAGGAGACTAGGCTTCCACAAAGCTCACTTTTTTAGTCCTTATACAGTACTAGAGCGAAAGTAAAGAGGGATCTTAATTAGGTGTATACCCTAGATTTATTACCTATCCGAGTGCGATTCGCTAATTTGAGATTAAAGAAACCCTTTTAAGGTACCGAAAATACGTAGAAAGCCACTATATAGCTTACCTAAACCTATCAATGCGGCCTGTAACTAACTACTAAGCGCTCCCTAGTCCGCTTAGCGTAAGTGTTATACTAAGGTAGGTTTAGTATCTCTAGACTGAAGAAAATCAATCCATCGATTTGAACTCGATTAGTCCCAGACATATTGCGGGGAAGGGGAGCGGCATAGAGTGAAGGCAGCGGTGGATAAGGCACTACTGGTTTGAGTCACATAATCTAGTTTTCTGAAACCAGACATCTTTGCATCAAGGTCAGTCGAATGGCCTACCCTCCCGTCTCTTGTCTTTGCTCAACGGCCGATCAAAAGATCCAGAAGCACATTCACTCTTTGTCACAGTACCCTGTTACCTCATTAACAAATTCCTTGCAATTTCCACACCCTGCCATTATGTCGAAGATATGTATACAGGGGCTAATATTTAAATCAAAAGCATCAAGGTAAACGAGACCTGTGATGCCTAAGTTACTGAATTGATCACTTTGAAACACAGTCACTTTTGTCCCTACCTACTTTTCTAGTGGCACATAGCTAGATCAGTGTTATAACACAAAATCAAGTATGCTAGCAAGGGACCAGTGCCATTAACAGAAATGGTCTCTCTACATACCGGTGTTGATGCTTAAAAGAAATTTGGAGAACGGGAAATGCAAGAGGGTCCACAAGTGGAGGGCCACAAGTAGATGGCCCTCGCCTTGTGGCCCAACATCTAAAACCGGAGAGTGGTATCTAGAACCAAAAATATGTTGTAGTAATCAGATGGATCTAGAAATTACGTCCATTGAGCACTGAGAGAGGTGGAGCTACCGTAGGGATCAGAACAACATCTCACACATCAAATACTTCGATCGCCTAAAAATAAATTTGGGATAGAGCCCAGCTCACGGCTTTTTTTCTGTTATTATACAGGGCGAGCGTGCTCAAGGAACCGAGGATGATGGCCAGCGTCACTATTGGCCACTCATCGACTACCTTTTGAATGAAACAATATCCTTCCGTTGACGTGGGTTTTTCGTTTAGAGGCTCTGGGGCTGGCGAATGTAAGGCAGTTGAATCCAGTGCTCGTAACAGGCTATGAGCGTTTCGAAATCCTCCGTCGACCCAGCAGTCTTCAATAATTGAGCCAAGCCAGACATTTTTAGTGCTGGGAAGGAACTCTCTTCGCGGCCAGGTGGCTCGACCATCAGTTGGAAGGTTGTCTTTGAAGAGATCGATTTCGCATCTCTTGCCAGTCACAACTTCGTAGATAACTGCACCAAGAAAGCCGATGTCTATTCGAGTCGTGTATCCATTATCATCGAAAGTATCCATGTCGACATCTAACGGTAGAAGAGATGCTTCGGAAAAATCGCAGAATTTGACTGTCAAATCTGAATCGAGAAGGAAGTTTCGACTGGCAATGTCTGCCACAAGCACACGTTGATCGTGGATATACTCGAGCGTGCGAGCCATTTCACGAAACCAAGAGAGTTGGAGCTGTTGAGGGGGCTGGTTGGTTTCCAAGTAGGTGCGAAGGTCTCCATTAGCCATGTAAGCAAGTTGGGTAGCTTCTTTTGAGAAACCAACGCAATTGACGATACCACCACATTGGGGATTTGATGATTGAAAACGACGATAGACATCTTGTTCACGTTGGATGACTTCAATGTTCATCTCAACCTCTACATCCGAGCTCCAACAATATCTCAGAGGCGTCTTGACAGCCAGGCCGGCACGTAACACTACAACCGCTGAAGATCCAGATCCAAGGACTTGCTCCAGAGGAATAGATTCACCGGAGAGATCTAAAAAGGGAGAGGCCATATTTTGGTGTCGAGAATGGAAGGAACTAGCTTTGGAATGGATTTACTACAGAATGAAACAAGGGGTGATCCCTTTTAAGGTACATTCCCATAGTTTTACACGTGACCAGATTATATCTTCCAGCTCTCGCGTTATCCTTTCTAAAAAGCTGCCCTTGAGGTTCAAGCTCAATGTGCTTGAAATTAATACGATCATCGGTGTTTGGGACAGTTTTGCTTGCGTCCAGTTGACCTGCCCTTGATGGTGCAATCCACACAAATTGCATGTTGTGATTAGTGAGCTTGGTCCGCACGGATTGGAAAAGGAGCGGATTTTGTCATTTAGAGTAGTCAGAGAGCATTTTATGCCAACCCATTGATCATCCCATTCATCCCATACAGTATTGTACCATAGATTTCTGTCACGAAGGCTTAGCTACCTCTCCTCATAAGGCGGGCAAGCCTTGGGATCTTACACACTCACTTTCTCACGTAGACTTCGGCTCAACCCACTCTAACCCGGACCCAACCTAACCCAACCCATTGGGTAACCCATTGGGGCCCCAATATGGTGTAAACCAGACAAACAGACTTCTAGTGTGTAACTGCATAATTAATGCATTTTTTGCTTGTAATATTGAGTATTTTTGTCAGGGTGCGGG